ACATTAAAGTCAGAATGTCCATGTACACGCTGTAAGCATGTGGTTGAAAAACGGCCATGCACTAACATCCATTATGCCTTTCAAGTGACATTCACTAATAGGCATAAACAATAATTATGCACATCTGCTACACATGAGCCGGTAAGTCTATACGTGTACATTCATGAATGTCATTACAACAATTAAACAGGTGGTGTGAGGACTTGAAGGGGCAGACAGATGGTTAGTTACCTTTTCTGACAGCCAAAATAAGCTGAAAAATAGTATATATGGACCAGTTGCTGGTTTCTGGCAAAGTGGGCCTGTGGGAGTCATACATTCGGTGGTTCAATGTGAGTCCTTGGGGCACATATCTGTAAACATGGTAAACATGATCTTTTGGCTTTGGTAGCCAATAACCCTAATTGCTAATGGTGATTTTGCACAATGGTAGAAAGACATTGTGGGAAGGAAAAAGAAGCGAACATTTTTCCTTCCAACAGCACCTCTCCCCTTGTGCAAATTTACTATGTATGCAGTATCAGCAATAAGGCTTAGGCCTGTATGTGTGATTCTGTCTGAAAAGTTGAAAGGCACTCGGACTCAAAAGCCTCATATTTGGCCTAGGGCTACAGGGCCAATTCGAGAACTCTTAAGTCACTACTCCATGTAGTGACTTAGAGTTCTCGCAGTAGCCTAGGCATAGGGCTAGGCCTATCATTCATTTTCATCGTGTTCATGTCAATGCCATAACAATGATGATTGATAACGAAATGTCAGGAAAGGCAATCTGCAGAGTGTCGCTCCAAAGACTGCAGCGAGCCAAGTGCAAGATGGCACTTGGTCCACAAATAGGCTAATAAGAAACTGTAGTGCAACAGCACAGTCACGTGCACTCTGACCCAATGGCTGTTGCTTGTCACTCTTGCCATTTGGGCATAAATAATGAGGAGCCCTGTGATTGATCGGTGTGACCCCCAGCAGGCCACAGCCACCTGCCATTTCAACAAGTCAGTCCAGTTGTGGCTAAGAATTACATAAACATTTACAGAGAGTGGCAGCAGCCAATCTCCATATCTTGTGTATCAATCGCAGCCGTAGTCAACCATTTGGTCATGGCTTGTCGTCACAAGTACACATGTGAACCTCACGACTCTCTCAGACGCTGATGATCGGGACATATTTGCACCTTTTCTGTAAATCAGCAAGGTTTGGGCCTGTTTTTTTCTTGGTACAAAGTACGAAGATATGTAAGCTACCTTAAATAGAATTCTTGGGGGAATGGAGTAGCATTTCTATGCGTACATAACCACAAAATCCCTGTTCGTGCCCTGTAAAACGTCATGTGATCATGTACATGTACTACTACTACTAGCGGTCGTACTAATTAACGTCAACACAATGTCAACACGCGTCAACACATGATAGTACTAGTAGCGTCAACACACTGTCAACAAACCCAAATCACATTCTAAGTTTACAGAAACACAATTCGATAGCAATATAATGCCTAAAATACAATTTGGCTTACAACAGTGGGCGACATTTGGGGGAAACGCCATTTTATTTCACGAAATAACACCCTGCGCACAACCACGAAAGACGGTAGCCATGTTGCCTTGATCAGAAGGACCATACCATTACGCTACAGGGGTTCACCTTTATACAGTAAACCATGGTACGATCCAAACACTTTGAGAAGGCAAGATAGCGGCGAACAGCGGCGCTGCTCAGAGACAATTTTTTCGCGTGAAAAAAATCCCTTGAAATGCAGTAAAATGTAAACTCGATTAAATAGAAATTATTTCTAAGCATATACATTACAGTTCAGTACGTCTGTTTTCTGTTTTCCATGCATTTTGTAAGTGTTGGTGATGTGTTGACGTTACTATCAATGTGTTGACGCGTGTTGGCGGTGTTTTGACGCTGATTAGAATGACCACTAGGCCTAGAGCTTGTGGCAAAAAAGGCTTGTTTTCATGTTGTTTTGTGTGGGGTTCATGGGAGCGGGGTGGACGTCAGACCCCAGTGGGGGTGGAGGCATTGAGGACACCAATGGTTATCACGAAACAGGTGCAACACGAAAAAGTGTCAAAATACATGACCTGTAAAGGCTGTATTGTCTGTAATCTCGAAGTTTAATATCATGAACTTGCACCGGCTTGACAAACATTTCCCTTCGAAAACACAAGAATTAAAACAGGCCAATGTAACACGGAACGCCATGGCAAAGTCTTACCCATGTGTGAGGTGTCCAATGTGACAGTCGGAATTTCTTTCAGCGGTACATGCCCGCTTCGAAAACCTCCACCGGGCCAACACCGGAAACAACAAAAACAGGCCGCCATTTTGTCTGGCAAAATTAGAGCGCTTGATGGCGCTACTGTGATAACTACTCCTCCTGGGCACAATTTTTTTTTACACAACACAGAGGCTGGGGGAAATCCGACTTGAATAAAGGCTATAATCGTGCCTCTGGACGATTTTTCAAAGGGAAGTAGTACCAGTAAAGTCCAGAGTTTTAGACTCGACTGAGCAAGTTGCCATGGACTCATGTTTTGTGACACGTGACTTGACTTGTAGATATAATTTTTTTGTCTTGTGACTTAAACTGGACTTGCAAAACTAGACTTGACTTAACTTGGACTTGAACATTATGACGGTTACCAACGCAAGTCAGAAAAATTACTCAACTAAATTAAAGTTTTAGCCTATCAACTTATATCTTAAAATAATTAGCGTAAAACTTCGTTCGGTTCACGACTTCTACTTCGGTCTCGTCCGCCCAAGGCCAAGTCTGAATCACTTAACTGTGGCTTGAAATCACGCATATCGCGCGACTCAGACTATTGAAAGTCTTGTACTTGGACAAAAAGACTTAGTGTTACTTGCTTATGTTTGGACCATGGAGGTAGAATCATCATGTGATTCTACCTCCATTTTTGGACCAAATTGACTTGTGACTTGACTTTACCTGTGATCAAATGACTTGTGGCTGAACCAAATCACTTGTGACTTGGCTTCAGACTTGCAAACTATTTGCCGGCACCTCTGGTAAGGTCGAGCCCGACATTCAAACACGGAAAGCCTCCATGAGGCGTAAAGACTAGCCTCCTTTCAAGCTGCAAGAACCATTTTCCCATGGGAAATTACATGGAAAATCCTCAGACAGTTGAGTAACAAAATAACACGCCGCCCGGGAGGTGTTTCTCATTTTTATTGCCAGTCTTGAGATGAGCATTCCTCAGGCCCCCACGGAATCAATTTCCCTGTTGAAATGTCAGAATGTACTTCCCTTTGAAAAAAAAATCTCCAAATTCTTAATTCAAGCTTTGTTCAACTCGAATTTCCCCCAGCATGTTTGTAAAGAACAAAATCACCTCCTGACCTGGGGCAATGGTTGTGCCCGATTCCGACGCAGGCCTCACCTTTAATACAGCCCGCGCCAAATGCACTGTGATCCAACGTGACCGTCATAAAACCTCAGCTCGGCCTCCCTAGACGTTGTATGAAACAAATGACCCCCCTACACACACGGACCATAAAACAGTCCATGCTGCCATGCTGGTTTCGTCTGTTTCCCCATAGGATCTGCGTGTTGTTGCCCTGGCGCTAATCTACCAGTGGGAAAATTATTTACACCGGCAAAACACTGAATACTCCTTCACGTCGTTGCTGCGTAGTTTATATTCCATTGGGGAAATGAAATGTTCCATGTTCATACTGAACTTCTAGGTGAAGAATCCATTCAAATAGCCAAGTTTGCCACGGAGGAAGCCTCTGGACAGTCCCATAGCATACTATGAATGCATAAAGTCATTGTTTCTAGATTCCACCTTCGTGATAGTTCCAGCAAAGCGGTTTTCCTACCATCCCAATATGTATCACAATGCTGACTTGAAGTTTAGGCATACGAGTTTAATAAAAACGGGGAGTCATTCTTTTGTCAGCAGCCCCACTTCGTGCGTGCGCTGCGATTCAAATTGACAGGTGACAGGTGGAAGTACCCTTCACTTCAGGCGGTTCGTTGCCCTCATTCCACGTTAGGCCCAGGCCACATCGGACCACGCTCGGAATGGACTAACTCAGTTCATGCAGCCCGCAACTTCAATTTTGGAAGTGTTGCCACTCGAATATTGCCAGCGCCGCCAACGCGCGACTATAAAAGCCACGGTGGAGTCAAGCTGGCTCACATCGCACTTGGGCTGTCCGCCTGTAGAATCTATACGCCTTCATGACCGTGGCTTCATCCTCTCACAAATTAATCGGGTTCCCCTGTGTTATACCATAGAGCAATACGACCAACCGGGTTTTCGTTCAGATGATCAGTAAAGAGACGGCAACATGCCATCACGGCTGAGATTTTGCTCATTTGTCTTAAAAGTTGGCCGCCGGCCACGCGTTAGGCCAGCCTTGAGCTGTCTTGTGTTGGTGCTCACCTCGGCACTTTGGGAGGCCGCACGTGTCCCTGTCGCAGAGTGTCTCCCGGCTGCTGCTGCTAACTTACCAGGCGGACTGAGGTTCGGCGAGGGGGGAAGCGGGCGGTACGGACGGCACCATAGTGAGGAGAGTGCCGGTGGACAGGAGCGGGATGAAGACGCGTGGCTTGCGTGCTACGGTGAAGGTATAAAGCTTTGTCCGAATTACTTGGCTGCGACCTGAATTACGCACAAGTTCATGGAAACGGCCGCAGCTAGTTCTTATCCAGTCGTGCGTCATATCAAGCCTCAGCCAGGTGATTTGAACGCGGGTAACAAGACTCTCGTTTTGTGAATTGCCTGCTGTTTCGCCCAAACCCTAGCCCTATGACCATGTCAAACTGCACAGAGGAAGGTCGATGGTTATGTCTTTGCAATTGCAGATTGACAGGAAGTCAAATCATGTTTTTCAAATGCTCAATTATAATCCCCTATGGGGAAATTAAGAACAGGAACAGACTGGTAAGATTTTTAAAAATTTACAATAGCGCGGCAATCACTGGCCCTATTTTTGAAAGTGAATGGCGGTGTGGCTTCTTATTCCGTCGTTTTGCTAGCGGTTTATTGATCATAATGGAAGAGATTGATTTTTCTTTAGTGCAGATTAGTTGATTTCTGAAATGGCAGTGTCTGTGAGATTATTACTGGGTCTCCATCTTTTGGACACCTGTGATGCTTTAAATTTGTTTTAACTAATTGTCTGGAGCTAGGTCTTCACTCCATTGGCAATACAAGGAGACGCATAGACAATAGACCCAGCCGTGGTTCTGGAAGCCCGTTTCGACCTTAGTTTTAGGATGAAATTTTGTTTCAAAGATAGTCAGTTGTAATACCTTAAGCCCAAGGGTTCTTGGAAGTTGCAGCCTACCGTAGGCCTACAATAAAATAATATTATGCCAAGCCCCTGTACGACTCCTTTTTATAGCTCCATGGTTCTACTCTAGTTTGCGGCGTAGGATCGATTTGGGAGCTTTAAGGCCCTTCCACCGCGTTTTACCCGTGTTTTGTTCCCCAAGGTTATAATTAAGTTGCCCACATCTGGAATGAATCAAACGACAGTTTCCCACATGGCTCATTAAATATATCGTTTCTTTGTTTTCAGGTACAAAGGTCACGCGCATTCCTTATAAATACGGGCTGTTACAGACTAAGATTTACGACATAGCCTACGTATGTAGCCATAACGGGCGAAATGAGCCCATTATTCCTTAGGAATGTATTTATTCTTGTTTTTTTTCAATTTCTTTCATCATTTGTATGGTTTTTCCTTCTGGTCTCATTCACACGGAATTCTTTCCATAGATTTTAAATTCAATATACATTTGAAAAGCCTGCTCAAGGAACAAGAACCGCTGGTCAAAAGAGGTGAAAGAAAATTCATGTGAAATATGCCACTTTTTTTCTTACATATTATTGCAAGCAATAGAACGGCAAATACGATTTGCTTCCAGTTACGGATTACAATCACGGCACCGACTGCACAATTTCAATTTAATTTACAATACCGGGAAAAAGATTAAATAGAAGACTGTTTGGGGGACAGTCGGAAGACATTTCAAGAGATCATAAAAACCAAATGAATTCTTTAAATAAAAAACAATGTGCGTTTCACGGTGATGAAAGGATATTCGATGATTCCATTCGGAATGCCAGTATGCATAGCCATATCGTAACATTTGATCCTGGAAATTTACAGCCCACCCATGGCCACATAACGTTTGGAAATAGTTGCTTCTCAAAATGCGTTGACAAAGTAAACACTTCCTACGGGCAGACGATATGTAGACAGTAGCCTATGTATGACGTTCGGTTGGTTATACCCTCCAGTCCATGAAACAAAAGTTGAGTGTGTTTGGAGCCTTTTGAGCTTAGAACTTCAATGTCGTCAGGTTTTGTATGTGGTTGATACTGTATTTGGAATTGTACCTTAGTTGACGTTCTGAAATGAACGTTGCATAATCCCTTTAATCCGGGTTACTTTGGGCGCATTGTGACATCATCGGAAGATCTAGATTCTCAGTCACAAATACCGCGGTGTCTAGACAAGACAGGTGAAGGTCATGTCCATGTTGTTATTAGGTCTGTTGAGGATATCTGCCTTTGCTTGCGATAAGTCAAAATTGGAACCAGCCAGAATATTTCAAAGACAGGAGGTTTTTCCCCTCAAATACGTGTACCAGCAATAAAAATTTCTCGTGCACCGTTTTTATTTCTTCCAGTGGTTTCCATGTACATGTGTATCCCTGGACTTGGCGTTTAATTGGCGGTTTAGTTCGGCAAACAGTTGGCGAAATAACTCTGTTTGATGCGGTCGCGCGTTTGGAGATTTCGGCGAATTTAAAAGAACGAATTCCAACAATGGGCATTATGTCAGCGAAGAGAACTGTGCACGCAGCTGTACATGTCCCGTACACATGTAGAGTAGCCCTTGCACTGTTTGCGCACAGTGTAGAATGAAAATGACACAATCTTCCGCAGAAAAGAGTAATTTTTTTTCTTCAGCTCCTTCAGTTGGAAAAGTTTATGGGGGCACGTTTAACAGTGTACACTGTTCGCATGATCAATGAAACTATGTAAAAGTCGACTCTCATTATAAAGAACTTTGTATATCAAAATACTGTTATAAATTTCTCAATTTCTTGAATTCCTTTATTTCTTTTTTTTTCCACTCCTTTTGTAACAAAACCTGGTTATATCATATTAGTTTGTCTGGTTCCCTAACTTTGTTATAAGCCTAACGAGGGTTGACTGAACTTATTCAAAAATTGGGGTGGGGTATTAAGCGTGTTTTGTAGTCGGCCATGCTCAAGGCGCCATGTCTCTATAAGGTACAGATCTCAACGAAACTTTAAATGTAAGTTTTGCGTTCCCGTTCTCAGTTTCCTGAATATATATATATATCGATGTATGTTACAATAATTAAACAAGATTGTCTCACTGCGTATTCCGTCAATGAAAAAAGCGTACCACAGACAAAGATACCCCGCAGCACTTTTACATGTGTAACTCGGCGTCCGTCATTTCCTGCAAAACGCCCAACCGATATAAAAATCCACACTTTGACTACAAGTCATGTACACTCATGCGCAAACAGCAGGCGTTTTCCTCTTATAGGAAAGTTAACACCCTCACTGTTTCCTTTCGCTGAACACGCATGACCACAAGAAAATGAATTACAAACCACTGTCTTCCCCGCAGGCCTTTGTATTTGAAATTAATTATGGGGTTTGAAGCGAAATTGAGGTTAGAAGTTGTCAGTTGTCTCGTTTTGGTGCGGTTTGAAGCCAGACTCAAGTTAAGCTAAATAAAACATTTCTTGCTCCCCAACTCTATCTCCATCCCCACGAGAAAACTACCAGCGTGAGTTCACACAAATGGTGGGATTTAATGTAGACTAGGAAAGCGCAAATAAAGACTCGGGACACTTGCTATTCTCAATTTTGTGTCTCGTTTTGTGGCTTTAGGCTCAACTTCATGAGTCTACACCCATCTCAAACTTTGGAGGATCCGGTGTGATTTACAAATAGCTCCCCAAATCCCAAATCCAGTCATATCAAAAGTTGATTTCATTCTGTTTGGAACCCTGTTAAAACTCAATAATGTTTTAAAACAGTCCGAGACATGAAGTAAGTTTAATCTATGTTTTGTCTTGTATCGATTTTTGTTTTCTGTTTATCATCTATGTTTCAAACCCACTGAAGCATTAACACAGACAAGAATTAAAACCTTCTTTGGCTTGAGTTGTACTTTGCCGAAATCTGTTTAAAATAAATTTTTCGAAAGAGGGGATAGGGGAGATATCACCAGCTTGTTTCTATTGGAAGAAATGGATCATCCATGATTCAGCTGAAAATAAGTTCAACCCATTTTATGGTATTTTGTTGTGATTGTTTTTCAGATATCTACCAGGAAGATATAGTGATGGACAGCTGGCAGAATGAAGTCCAGTATGCGGTCACAGAAGACAATGACGAGTCTGATGCACATGTCGTCAAGGTGACCGACGGACACACACAGAAACACCCACGGCAACTAGAAGAGAGACAACACTACAGAACCAAGAAGGCCTCCAGGGTCGAGATGGATCGACGCTGGCGCCGTGACCGGGAAGAAAGGTCTCGCGTGCGCCGTGGAGCGACAGCTCAGGAGGCGAGGTTGTGGCCCGGCGGATTGGTTCCGTATGAGATCCACGCAAACTGCGAGGGTAGATAGGTTATGCTTGAATATGCTAACTTCAACATTTTGCATTTTAAGGTAATGTTACAAAAAAGCTTCCCTGCTGCGCCCTTGCCACTGTTTCAACATAATTCATACCATTATGATTTTGGCATTCTGTTTATCACTTTGTAGAAGACACTAAGAATCTGGTTCTACGTGGTATGCGCCATTGGGAGGAGCACACGTGCATCCGGTTCCTGCCGCGAATCAACGAGACTGCCTACGTGTATCTCGTCTGTACCGGTGGGTGCGTATCGTCTGACAGTCACGCTCGTTCGTGGCATGAGGATATTGGGTCAGTGGTTTGGTGTCAGACTTGACAAACTACGTTAAAATCCAGATGCCACAATCCATTTACTGGGACTTCAACGTCGATGCTGTGGGGACTGAAGGGGATCGAAGCCGCGATTTGAGAAATGCTTGTCAGACTCTGGCCAATTGCAAGTTCGCATTCTGCGGCCTTGAACGGATAGGCCTGCAAATGCGGGATGTGTGTAAATTTAAGTTATTAAACTTTCATTCGGACTATACATGTTATAAAGAGGCCTCTGAAAAGGACACTTGCTGTAACAACTACTTGTGAGTCACTGAATGAAGCCTGTGCTGAAATTTTAAGATTCAGGCTAAGCCTAATCTTTTGCTAGCAATTGCAAGTTCTGGGATGGTCTGGTATCCACACGAATGTACATGTACTTGTAATGTAGTCGAGACCATCCCAAGACCATTAACAAAGTGATACCAAATGCAAGACGAGTGAGGAGTGCTTTTGTTGCAGTTCAGACTGGAGGCCTTGTGTAGTTTTATGGTCTTGAGGGTCTCGATTACAGCACCGACGTTCTTCATGAACCTGCTGACGAAAGTGTACAAGAACTTGGCCTAAACTGCGAAAACAACGGCCAGTATTGTATTATAGATACATGTCAAATGGTTAATGAGTGGGCAGAGGGATTGGATTTTGTGTTATGAATGTCTAATACTACCTTTAATTAATCTGTGCTGCACAGATGCTGCTCCTTGATCGGCCGAGCAGGCGCCAGGCAGGTGGTTTCCTTGGGTCCTGGGTGCAATAAATTCGGCACCATCATCCACGAACTGGGTCACGTGATCGGCTTCTGGCACGAGCAGAGCCGGCCGGACCGAGATGATTATGTCACAGTCTTCGAGTCGAACGTTTCACCCGGGGACCACTTTAATTTCCAGCGATTTGACCATCGCGTGGTAATAGACTCTTTCACTAATAGATTCTAATTTATGTGCCAAAATATCACCCCCCCCAAAAAACCCCATTTATGTGCGCAGGCGCATAAAAAGTAATCGGAAACAGAAAGCTTGAGCAGCCCATTGAAAATGCACAGCGTCATTTTCTCTCAGCTTCTACACTTTATAACATTTTTGTCTTCGGAAAACCATCTGATTCTCATAACTATTAATATCTGGTGTGAGAGAAATGTTTTGAGGGCAACATAAAAGCTCAAAAAAATTTCTTCGTTTTAAGTGCAAGAGAGCGAAAGAAATCAGTATGGTTCCGTTCTCTGTGAGCTATAAAACAAATTGTGCAATACGTCAGAATACCATCCACCATTCTCAGTCGACGCCGCGCGAGGCAAAACAAACCTAACACCAGTCTGAAGCTAGCCCGCAATTCACCCTGCGTTCAGCCCGCGATTCGGCGTTGTACGAGTGGTGACATAGCTATCGAATTGGACATGGTCAGAAAGGAGCCCTTTTGTTTTCTTTTAACCTCGTGCGCTTAGGGAGAAAGCAAAGACTATTTTTTATTTTGTCCATTGTAAAGTCCTTTTAGACCGGAAAGTAATAGCTGTGAATAATATTAGAGGGTTTTCCGAAGACAAAAGTGAAAAAAGTGCAGAAGCTGAAAGAAAATCATAAATTATAATTAATTTATCAGTGAAGGGTCTATAATGTTTGCCTAAGCGTTTTTCGACTGCATGGCATTTCGTGGCAACGGGTGTCGGTTTTTCCCGCATAGATATTCTAACAATTGGTTACAAAAATGTGTGTTCTAGTCACACGGAACCAACTTGGCATGTGCAAAAGACAAACCAAATTTATGTTCATTGATGAAAATAACAGTGTGTACAATACTATAAAATATAATGACGATTAATTGATAATTGATAATTGACGATGTTGCATGATGATCACTGAAAGGCAAACTTGGGAAGGGATTGGTTTTCGGCGGTCACTGTGCGTGCGTATTTGACAGGCCAAAAACGTCATTGGGCACGTGATCTAGAAAAAATACCGGAGGGCCGGTTTTCACTGAGGTAATACAAAATGACAATCTTGGGAAGAATGACATATAAGAAAATAGAGGTACACCAGTCAAGTGTGGGGACTGGTACTCCTCCGCTGTGTTGCTTATCGTGTTAAATTTGCTAAGCATATTCTATGCTTAGGAACTTTGTGAAATGGGTCCCTGATTTGGAATGACCTTTCAGTTAGGTGTACGTGTTATTTCAGTCCCCATACTCTGCTTGATTTGGACATACAGTATAGGCCCCTATATTCAACTTCTGCTGTTTTAGGAACTTAAGAATTTTTTACTCTGTAGCTTCCAGTTAATATTTGGCCTATGTGGATACTTCCAAAAGAAAAAAAAAGTTAAAGCAAATTATACCTTGACAATAAGTTCTTGGCGAACTTTGGTCGTCATCACATTTTGACACAAAAGAAACTTGCCTTGAAGAATATAGCTATTATTTTTTTTTCAATTTGGTAGTTCGCCTGTCAACTGTATTTGTTTCACAATGTCAGATCAACTCCTTGGACCAGCCATATGACTATGACTCCATTATGCACTACGGACCTCGGTCCTTCAGTCGTAACTACGAGCGAACCATCATTCCAAAGAAGGAGGTGACAATCGGACAGCGCAGCGGGCTGAGCGTTGGGGACATCCTCCAGGCCAACCTGCTCTACAGGTGCTCACGGTTTGGTTGTAAGTACAGGAGAAACAAAATAATATTATCCTAAATTAAATCCAGGTGATAAAACCTATGAGTCGGTGTTTTGTTAAGTTTTCACTACGGATTGTACCATACTCTGTTAGACTGTGATAGCCAACCCGATCTTACAAAATATCACGGTGTACAAAGTTACGGATGATTCCTTTGGAAGCACAGTCAGTACATTCCATAACCAAGGCTTTTGCAAGACATTAAGCAACTTGCAAAGTCTGAATGAACAGTTTGTTCATAGTCCCTAGAATAATATTACCTTCTTGTATGCTGCACTTACAGGGTGTGGTGGAACCATCTTCAAGTCCAGTGGGCAGATTACTTCACCACATTACCCAGAACCCTTTGCACCCAACACGACCTGTGATTGGGCGATTTCTGTGGACGAAGACCACGCACTAAAGCTCATCTTCATTGACATCGATCTACCAGGTATGCGCATTTACATCTTTCGCGTCTTGTTTTTTATACAGAGTCTGCCAGAACAAAATACACTGATTTCTATCCAGAAGCAATATGAAAAACATTACTGTTTAAAGGCAGATCCAGCATGACAAAAACAAGGGGCACATCATTAGGAAAGGAGTGCACCGAGGTTAACAGTCAGTCAATGAAAGCGAAGGAAAGAGGGGGAAATGTCATTGGGACTATTAATCACTGAGTACAGAACTAATAAAGGAAATGTTCTATGGAATGGAAGTAGTGTTTCTGACGGAATGGAGGGCTTTACCACGTCTTTGTGAAAAGAAGGTGGGAGCGCAGCTTGGGATTTTAGGCGATTTCTTTTTTTTTTAATTTGATGGATTTTTATGGAGTGTGTACGTTGTGTGTGAAAGAGGTATACTCTTGCTGTTTCTTCCTCAGTCCCCATGGGGTGGCCGATCGTTCTTGACCCATGTCAGACGGAAAAACAGCGACTATAATTCACATCCATGTTTTTTGTTAATCACTTTCAATTGAAAATGTCGAAACTGGTTTCCGAAAAGGGCACGATTGACAGAGATTATTTTGCCAGCCATTTATCAAATTTGTAGATAAATTAAAATCGACAGTTATTAAATGACGGTATTTGTTTATAGTAATGTGAACTATTGCGGCACTTCGAACTTTCTGACGGCAGTGTATACGTTCCCACTGCTTTGACATTATTGAAAGTATAGTGTAATTAACCTTCTAAAGCTTTGGCCTTCCCATGTAAAGTTCTCTCGGGACTCACTGCCTTGTTCCCACTTCCTGTGTGTCAGGTCCAGAATTATATGTCAATCGTTTTGCTGTTTTTAACCTCACCAAATTTCCCCAAGGATGGATCGGTCGTGTTTCAACGTCTGAAACCTGAAGTGGCAACGACAGATTGACATGGTACCCCCGATCTTGGGGTCAGACGGCGGGGCACGAGTACCAAGGGGTCGGAACTATTCGGATACCATCAGTGTCACATTGGGGTCGACGATTTCAGGAGTAAAACATGACATAGTTGAAACGTTATTTGTTGACAAGCGAATTTTTTTTTTTAGTTTCAATGTCAGTTTGTTTTTTCAGAGAGTGAAACTAAAGGTTATCGATTAAGCAATTTTGAGGTACTTCTAATGTTTTGGGCTGTTTGGCATTTAAATTATTCAGTTTTTAACCAAAGAAAAAAAGCACTGATGTACTTATCTCCCCAACAGGGATTTCTTTTGCCTATATGCGTGTACCTGGAATGCGAATGGAAACTAAGTTTTTTATGCGGTGAAGCAAACAACTAATCTGCGCAATTAATTTAACGCACGTTCATTAAGTTTCACTTGTCAGGTTCATCGTTCCAGTTTTGCTGTTATGAATAATTCATAACTCTTTATTCCAAAATGAAATATTTTCACAACAGTTGATTACATAGACATGTGAAATCAATTTGTGGCTACCTTGTAGAAGGTTGTTTAAGCTGTCACTGTTGTCTTTGACGCATTTCCAGAGTTGTAATGACTCGAGTTGGTGACTCGACTAGAGTCCCAACGGGTAATAACTCGACCCGAGTCACTGCGAGCGAATGACTCCACTCGATTCGAGTCCCTCATCAGAAGACCCGACTCGAGTGAAAGTGAACGAGACTCGAGTCCCAAAAATAAAAGCAAACTTTTTTGTGAAAAAAATATTTGTAATGACTTACAGCGCCAGCTTATAATGTTGATATCATGTGTTATTATCTTAAAGAGTTAGATGTGCAGTGACCACATTTGGAAATCCACAGGTAAATCAAAAATGCCCCCAAATGACTCTCGATCTCCTTTGTTTTTATTTATCTTGTTGTATTTAAATATTGCAATATATTGGTGACTCAAATTTACTTGAGCTAAATACTTGACTCGAGTCGACTTTTTTGCTTAATGACTCGGCTCGAGTCACTACGTTACAACGACTCGACTTCAGTCACAAAAGTTATTGGTTACAACTCTACATATTGCCAAACAAAAAAAGGGGTTCTGCCCAAACTATCCACTGCTCCGGTCGTACAAACAATTCCAGTGCAGTTACAAACCCAGTTTATTTATACATGATATCCATGATGACCCGTCACGTTTAAATTGGCAGTTGACAAAGACGGAAAATGTTCCGGAGCCCGCGTGGAAGTCCGGAATGGTCAAGGGGAGCTGGGCCGCCTGATTGGCCAGTATTGCGGCAGCACCCCACCGGAGCCCATTACGGTGGACTCGGGAAGGGCATGGCTCCGTTTCCGGTCTGGTACAAGTGCAGAGTTCCAGTCCCGAGCTGGCTTCGCAGCCAAGTTTGAATCGGTGTGTAAGTATTTCGAAGCCCATTGAAAATGATTTTTAACAAATAAAATACAGAATAATAAATGTAGACGGGTGTTCCTTATATCAGATTAACCTCATCCCTATTATTACCGCCAAAGTAGAGTAAAATCGCCAAAATATTTGCCTTCTTATTTTTTTCTCCCCTATAAGCAAAAGTAGAAGAGTATTTGGCAATAACCAGCTTCACATGTGTTTGTTTTACAGCTATGACATATAGCCCACTATACGAGATTTCCCCATGGAGCAACCTACCTGTGGTCGCATTTCAAATGAAACACAGTGCACCTTTGCAAATGGGCCTAAATATTATTTCACGCACCAGGAGGTTAACCTGTCGATATGTGATACCAGAGTAATGTTATCAGAACAATAGATCGCTAGCGCGCTGGGGAGTTGCTGGTGGTTGTACATATTTGTTTTAGCAGCTGTTGTTAGGGATAAGAGATAATTATATGTATCCTGGCGGATACACGACGTGAGGAATAGAAGTTGCATGATTCTAGGATTGATGAGAAAATGCTGCACATGTAATAACAAAGTAACCATGGCCTACATATAACTACACATGTACCGTTTTATTATCATTGACGTTGCGTTATGGTCTGGGGACCTTTTTGGAGTCAAAGGTTAAGACGTGTTTCGAGGGAACATTAGAGTCAGTTTGTATTAATTTGCATGTTCTGTTATAGGCACAAAAACCCCTTCTTGGTGTGAAAACCACGTGCAACGGTTGTTTTGGGTTCCACTTGATCTTATAGTGTCAGCATTGAGAAATTTTTGATTGCAGAATATAGGGGGGTTGAACACGGAATATTTGCTATCACTTTTCTGTAAACAGGAAGTTAAAAGACTTTGCCAATTTTTTTCCCGCCGAGGCCTGGTGATACGTGACATGTTTTTGGTGCGTCTATAAATGTAAAGAAAAAGAGTTGATTAAGCTGCCTTTCCAGGGCGCTTTAGAATAGCGTGTTTTTACCAGATATGTGGTTTGAATTTCTTTTGCCTTGCATTTTGACGAGCTGTTTATCCAATACAGCTTTTGACAGTCCTCTGACGGCAAGCAGTGGCATATTGAAAAGCCCGAATTATCCCGGCTGCTTCCCGCCTGATACTGACAGCGTCTGGCAGATCACTGTAGATGAAGGGTTCATCGTTACCCTCCGGATTCTGGAATTGCTTATACCAGGTAGGACACACCATAAAGACTCCTCTGCCTTAAACTGGCGCTGCCATTCTTACTAAGCAGGCATTAAAGTTGTCCTAAACCAAGTACAATTACATAACATGCAGTGCCCTTTAGCACGATATGTTAACGGGTAATCTTTGCTTAAATAGTTTTCCTTGTTTGGGAAATTTTTGTGCTACAGCAGGTCTATCAGCTGACTACTGAACGCTGACCAATCAGTGAGCGCTACAGGACAAAGAAATAAAAAGTGAAGTACATTTGGGTTATATAGAAACAAAGACATGTCAGATTCAGTGTGAAAGATAATAATTGTACGTATTGCGCTTGAGCTGGGACATGGTGCGAAAATGATTGCATCGCATGGTTGTATGCATTAGTTTTTTCTTGTTTAATGAAAAATGTTCCCGTCAGCGAATTTACCTCTCCTTGCTGACCTCTTCAATATCAAAGTGTCTTCAGCAACTGGTTGCTATGGCGACTTTCTCAAGATAATTGACGGAGACACCGGACAATCTCCTCTCATTACCAAGATATGCCAGACTCAGCTCAATGTGGGCGTGGCCTCTAGCGGCCGGAGCCTGCGCGTTGAGATGCACTCAGGTCACCCGGACAGGCGGGGCAACGAGACTCAGCCAACCAGATTCCACGCAAAGTACTTGAAGCGAGGTGCAGTGTATACATTCTCATGAAAAGATTCTGCGAGTGATCTATCCTCTTTGTGAAACAGATATCTACGGCTCTGCTTTCCATTTGATAATGAGAATCTACTTGACACTGTCAATCCTTTTGCTTCGAATGTTCCTAAAACATTCAAAGACTAAGCTCGCAATTCACTTCACGTATTTTTAGTTCTAAATGAATATTCAATCCAGAATAAAGACCACGTTCGAACAAGTGAAAAAACTCAAAACCATGCAAGATCATGTCAGGAACTGGGCTCTCTGGCTTCCTTAAGTTTAACTTCATTGTAACGCCCTTTAACGTCTTTCTGAAATTTTCCCTGTAGACGTGAACGAGTGTCGCAAGAACAACGGTAATTGTGAGCAAGCTTGCCTAAACATGATTGGTACTTTTGTGTGTGGCTGTCAGTATGGGTACATGTTGGCCGATAACTACCGAAACTGCACGGGTGAGTACGAGTTTAGACCAAAAAGCTGAATGATTAGGACTTATTAATACAAATTTTAGAGCGAAGTGCAGTCGTTACGATTTCGTTGAGATTTAAAAGGAAACAGACATGGTCGTAAACAGGGACATAGTACTGTGCCAGCCACTACTCCGACAGACATTCCAAGGCCCAGTATTTTGAGCAACAAGGCAGCAACATTGGCACTTTGGCAATAACCAGAAGTGAAGATTTCATTGCTGTAAATACAGAAAACTTTACGTTTCTCCCCAAATTGTTCAAATTGTGCCTGACCCAACCACTGAGTGGATTTCATGCCCACTTGTACCTTCTGTGAAAATATTATAGACTGGAACCAATTTAACCTTTTTAGAGTATAGTGGATTACGGGAAGCATTTCCTATGTACTGTACTATGGTTAAATAGTTACCTTCGGACTGAGAAAATTAGTCCATTATTGAATGACTACCGAATATTCTATGTACGAATCAGCAGTAATTTATAACAATGATTTTCAAAGGGGGCAATTATTAGACCATCGGCGTTAGCCATTAATAGGTCGATGCAATTAAATGACCCCACTCAATTAAAGGACCTACGAAAAGTGGGGACCACCCCCCCAGTCGAAAGAATGGGTGGCCACTGGTCCCCTGCCCCCCCCGTTTCCGCTCCCTGAGCTTCTGTGCAACTTGGAGACAGTTTACTTAGCTCTGTGAAGAAATCAAAGCCAGTAACTACTTTCAAACTTATCCCAATTTTAAAAATCGAAAACATCGATTAAAATTCGTAGATTAAAAACTACATGAAAACATTATCATTAAAACTGTCGCGCAGGTATTTTGAGTTTTTTATTCAGAGTTTAATTTGATTTGGCAGACATTGATGAGTGCCGGGATAACAACGGCGGATGCTCCGACCTCTGCGTGAACACAGAGGGTGCCTATCACTGCGCATGCCCAGAAGGCTTCTACTTATCTCCAAACAACCAATCCCACTGTCTCGGTAAAACCTATTAATCATCATTAATTTGATGGTACTTTAAAAATGTTGCAGATTTTGATTTCAGTAATCTCTGTTCCAAGATTTTAAAGAAACCAGACCACTCTAATTTCATTGGCGTGCGAAAAATGAACAATGAAAAATCAGTATGAATTACATGGTTTCTCATTCATTTACTCGAATGAGAGCATTTCTTTTCAGTGTTGACAACGGATACCTTTTGCACAGTCCTCTAAGTTCGGAGGATAATGTCCATAATGTATTTTGTAATGTGATGATGTACTTTTCAGCTGTCCTTTGGAGGCACAGGTGTGAACAATAAATTAACAACGCAGTCACCTAGTCCATGTGGTGCATTTGAGCGTGCACTGTTGCTATTGCAATTCTGAATGCACAGTCGTTGTCATGCAAGTGGTTGTTCATGGTGTGCCAGCTCATTCCCATGGTAACCAGCAACCGGTGGATTTCGTCATCGCTGACGTGGGCCGGGTCGATTTGCTGTCTCCGTGATTTTGCCCGATGATGTTGGTCAAACTCGAGCAGAACTTCCAGCATCGGTGTGGTCAGCCCGAGACGGCCGAACACGGCGTCGCGTGCGCGGACGATGTCACTGTCCATCACCCGCCCCTGGTCGCTCTCGTCCCGACGCCTGGTCTTCGTCCTCTTCTTGGTCTCTTTGGTCACGCGAGAGTGTAGCAGCTGCAGGAAATGGCGGACGTAGGTGGCAAGCACGTCGCGCAGGCAGCAGCAGCAGAAATCTCGAGTTTCTTCATCGGGTGAGAAGCGATGATTTGAACACTTGTGTCCAGATCTGTATTTCGCAACTTGGTGGCAGCACTCTTCGTCACAGGCGAAAGAACAGTGTCTTGCTGCTCCAGTCTTACAGGAGGCGATGTTCACCCTGTCTTGACGCGGGCTTGAATCACAAGGGCTGTCCGTTTCCTCACTAGTGGTATATCCCCCCGCAGTCGATATTACAGACTTTGGATCCGGTTCTTCTGCCTTTGGGGCAGGCCATTGGGTCGTGTTCGTTTCGGATTTCCCGTCCCCACAGACTGCGGAAGAGGGCAAAGTGACACGCTCCTCTCTTTGTGTCTTAAGTTGGTCAAGTTCTTGTGTCACTTCGTCGTCGTCGAACGTCTTCGCAATGTCCGTTGGGGCATTTGCTTTAAATTCCTGACATAAGTCACTGGAATGGCGCTTGATTATCTCTTCCACATATCTATCGAATTCTTCGTATCTGTTGTCATGCTCTTCGACAGACACTCGTTGCGAACCCAGATTTGGCGGATGATGGAGTCTATTAACGGTAGATGCGGCTGCTCGAAGCACCGTTACACCTTGATTTCTTCCTTCGCCCTGCTCGGTTCCCGCTGCACCGCTGTCCAACGTTAGACTCGCGTGCTCGACCAAGCCGTCCTCGGATTTTCTTTTAGACGAGATTAAGCTCCTGAATTCAACCAGTTCACTGGCTAAATTAATAAGCCGCTGTTCAGCACGTGACAGTTCAGTCGGATTTCTTTCGACTGGTTTTGATTGGCCTTGCCCATTTGCGGTAGGCTGATTTAAATTACAGACGACTCCGATCGATACTGCGCTGTTGTCCTGACGAATCGAAATGCTTGCCTCGTTTCCATCACACGGTTGGCGTCGATTCCTTGGTTGCTTCTTCTCATAAGGACTGGAAACCTGGTGTTCTTCAGAATCGCTGAACTGCTCGTCCGGTAATTGTGACGAATTCGCAATATGGCTGCTCACAGCTTGATCATGTTGCGATGACGTATTAGCTGTGGCTATACTCGCCGGTGCATCTGCACCAGTTACATTTGTTTGAGATTCATTTTCGGAGGTTTCCATTATTTGACCCGATTCTGAAGAGCTATAACGTGCATTTCTACGTTTGGATGTAACGCACGTTTCATTGGTCTCATTTAAATTTGCCGGGGAAGACCGACTCACCTTAATGTCACAGTTGAGTGAGGGATCAGTCCCCTGAATATCCTCCGAGAGATCCTGTCCATTCGCATTGTGCTCGTCGTCCACCATTACTTCCAAAGTGCTTTCCAGCTCGGCAGACATCTCCGAGATCTGACGGTCCATACGGGAGAAGTCCTCGCGGAGGGATCTGACCCGATCCTCGGCGGACTCACAGCGCCGTATCTGGCCGTCCAGCACGCCGTCGAAGTCCCGGACCCTGCGTCGTAACGCCTCAATTCCCGAGTCTACGCGGCCGAGCCGGGCCTCGACGTCCGAGTAGAGACCGCGGAGAAACACCCGCTCCCGCTGGGGTAGAGTGGAAGATAACCCTGGGCCGGCAATGCCCAAAGGCATGACGTCTTGACCCATCGTCTGCTTTTGATTCAGCTCTGAGTAGATTGAGGAGAAACCTTGGGATGGATTTCTTCTCGGCGATGTAGTGTTATCACTAGCGTGCGGTTGCGACTATTTCGAACAGCGCGTTATGGTCTCCATGGCACTCATTTCTCCATGACAGTCGCGTTTGCTTGTTGCGTGCGTGTGGAATAAACTTGCACACAAATCCAAGATGAAAACGGCGTACAGAGGGGTTACATGTAGTTACACGTGCCTTTGGAGGAAAAAATCTTACAACTGCTCTTTTGAATCATAAGTAGTACAGTGACAAGTATTCAATTTTACCCCAATGTAGCTTGTTTTCACATCATGTAAAGCTTTAGCATTCTTCACTTCATCAGTTGTGGTGTGAAGTGCGTTGTCAGCATCATATCAAACTCAAGGTGACAAAAATAGAAGCATGTGACTCATTCATCATCAAAGACAAGGCAGAGAACCATTACACTGAATATTTTATTCAGTCCGATGACTGGTATTAATATGACGACGTATTTTATACGTGGGTAATACAGCGCGGCTGACGCCAGAAGAGATATCGGCTCACGGCTAAAGTGTAGCATCGTTTCCGGTCGTCCATTGTTCATATGACAACGGAACACCTGCCGTATTTTTCCGTTTTGTTTCTCATGAATGATGCTAATTCATTCAGTATTCCATTCAATATTGAAAACATGGTGCCAACACCATATTGCAACATACTTAATTATGCAGAGGGGCGATAAACGAAGGATGATCACGCTTGACAACATACAAGAAACATAGTTACCGGTACGTTATACACAAATGAAAAAGGGGTACAGAGGCATATGTAGGGACTGAAATTATTTCTGACACTCACAGTCTAAACAAGAATGAGCGAAATTTTCAGACTAAATTTAAATTGTTTCAATTTATTTATATTCTTGTTCATTCTATAGGCCTAGAGTCATTTTCTCTTTTACCACAAGAGCTCAAACTGTTTACTATCGTCAAAATTAACAGCGGCATAAGCAGTGAAAGGTAACGCTACTCTTGCTTTGATTTATTCTTTCAAATGCTTACTTGTTTGCTTTTGTTTTGTATTGTCTTTTGGTAGCTATGCACATAACAACAAGCCGTCAACTTTTAAAACAGTTCTTCGTGAAAAAAATGAATAATGGTGATATTTGTCAGGATTTTGTCAGAACGTTGTCATCAGGAGTTTAACATGTGGAAAATCCAGGGATTACCACGAACGTACAGGTCCGAAAGTTATCTCAATTATTGTATGCCTCTGTGCAGATTACCAGGATCCTCTGAGCGGACCGAACCGTTGGGAGAGTCGTCTCTCAAATTCCACCGCTGTCGCTTCCTCTTCAACTGTCTTTCGCCTGAAAAATAAAAGCCCGTCGCAAACAAGATGTAATTTATGCAGTGCTTTTAAACATCTTTTTTTTAATCTATACCCAGCGCTTAGCCGATTACTCTTTTCCTTTCTGTGATGCGAAAGCCGTAAGTGATGAGACACTGGGGAATGGGATTTAAGTCACACTGTGGGAAAACCTCTTCACCGAACACTGATAGACATGACTATAATTAGCTCTGAGCTATGTGATTTCTCACTTGTCTGTGTAGTTTTTCTTTTATATGAGTGCCATCAAAATAGATGGCAAGTTCAGGTGGCGGCACTTTGTCGACAACTTTCTTCTTCGTTACGTTTGAACAAACTTTATATTCTGCATGAGTACCAGGCGGTAGTTGCCAAAATAGCCGCCGCTCAAACTTGCCAGTAATTTATTGTAAGGCCTTAAATGAATTTCGACACACAATGGCCTTACATCCAGCATGTAAACATTTCTGGAAAGACTCATGCTTGTTTTCTGTTCAACAAAACCTGCGTGCTTTTCACCATAGTCCTTTGTCTAATACTTAGCGACTGAGCACCCAAACTACACACAGCATATTTTCAGGATTCTTACGTCATAACAGTTACTTTAGTATGCTTGCCTATCCTTAACAAAGGACTCCAAAACAACACACTTTCTGACACTAGGACCATAACTTTGATCTAAAAAGGGGAAGACATAATGAACGTGTCTTTCGCGTGCTGACACCTACAAAGAATTACCTTAGTAACTCCAGATCTCGTCTAGTGTCTGCGACTTTGTGGGCAATGGCGGCAAAATGAGCGCGGACCTGCTGAAGTCGTGCCCGCCTCTTGGATAAAAAGTTCTCCTCCGCCTCCAGCGCTGACTGGAAGGAGGTGTACTCCTCAATGACGGACCCCAACCGGTCCATAGCCGACTGGAAACGGGCCTGGGTCACCTCCCACTCGAACTTCGACATTATGACGCCACAGAGTAAGGTTGTTCAGCCTTGTGAATTCGGACCAATAAAATAGTGGTGGAACATTATTATTTTACTTCATACCTTAGATGCGTCGCTGGTCAACTGCGGAAGGAAACATTGCTGGACCGTCTTCGATTCTGGGAATTATGTCACATTATGTCAGGTTTCTTAATAGTCCCCATCACCCCCACTGATCTCGTCTCATTCGGCAGTTGACACAACGCAGCAGGACTGCAAGAATTTCATCGGCCCTAGCCGTCAAAAGTTATGATCGCAGGATGGTGTATTTCACTCTATCGTTTGCTTTCCAACCCCAAACAGTTGGGGAGTCTCCAGCAATTCGGCTGTAAATCTGCAATCCCAGTCAATTAAGACGCCAGCAGTGAAGAAGAATGAAATGGCGTTTCAACACATTTGGTTATGTTAGATCAAGCAAAATATTGTTAATTACCCGAATCGATACTTGTATACTCATCACCTTCCTTCCTCCAAGACTCGAGTAACGTGTGCAGGGTCAAGACTTCAAGAGCATCGGTAAATTATTCCAGTTACATGGACTATGATGAGAATTAAAGTTCTATCCTTACTGGTTCTCCATGTCTTCACTGATTCCCCGCGTGAATTTTTAGAGATACATGTACACGGGAAGCTTGGTTTTATGTACACCTGCATAGCTATAGTGGTGCATACCGTTAATTTCAAATCGCCAGGTTCGATGCTATAGTTTTATGTGTTTGGAGTGCAGATTTAGAGAACTTGATAAGACGATCACTTACCTGTAATACGATTAAACAGATAACGAATGTCCATTTCTTATCATCTAAAGCAAGGCCGATTTACCGGTGATATATGCAACCTATACCTGTGTGGTTAAAGTGTGACCTGGGTGTACAATATCAAGTTGAGTCGGAACTGGCTCGAAGAAACTGTGCGCTAAGTTTACATGCTGTCAAGGACAGTAAATAAACACACTACAGACGGAACCGCGTTGTAGTTAACTTGCTTTTTGTGTTGTAATAATATCCGCGCGCGCACACAAGATCAAAACACGCTTTGACGATAATGGCAACCGTGTTACTGATCACGAAGCTGTGGGCGGAGCTTTAAGTTTGTACGAAGAGAACAGTGATTAGAACAAGGTTTGTATTCAGAATACTGATAAACCCTGTTTGTAGACAGTCGTGGAATTGATTTTTTCTCTATTTTCTTCAGACGTGAACGAATGTGACGATCCTACACGGAACCATTGCAAGCAACATTGTTACAATACAATCGGCAGATACGCATGCGCATGCAGTCCGGGTTTTGTCTTGGCGCCAAATGGAATGGACTGTTTTGGTAAGGAAATGGCCAAGTCGTGACAAGCTTTGAGCTACACTGCCATAATTGTTCACAAGATCTTAATTTTGAAAAAGATTTTCTAAAATCTACCGCAGCTAAGTAGTCACTGGTGAATCGGGGGGGGGGGTGATAACACGGGCCAAAAAGGGAGCAAAAAAAAACGTGTTTTAAAAAATATTATGATGAAAGAAAGGCGATTGTGTTAATTTTTCATTTCCTCTCCTTCGAGAAACGTGCAACACCCCCCTCAAAAAAATGTAGCCTCACCCCTCAGAAAGGTCGCAAAAGGTTACATAAAAACTTCCCACCCCCCCGAAAAACCCCCACCCCAAAAGGGGTTCTGGATCCACACTTGAGTGTAGTGAATTTACACAAATTTCGCAATCATCTAGGCACCACAAGTCATCATCGAAAAGTCAGGAGTTATTCTGTCTCAAATAAGGACCCAAGCTGATCAATCTAAATTATATGGCAGATGCACGTCCTTGATATTAAGAATTTGCGTGGTAGCCATCTTGCAGGGCAGTCCCTTTGTTTCACTGACAAAGCTCCTTTGTGCATACTCTGTGGAACAAAAGCACTGGCGTGCACGATGGCAGCCATGCAAACCTTCTGTTGTTCATCTTGTTTCTGCTTTTCATTAATGGCAATAGGACGCGATCATTTGTTTTGCAGTGAGAGCATTCAGAATTTGGATGTAACAAAAATTAATGTTGGCTTAGTTTGTCTTAATTTTCCCCAGCTTTGGAGGTTTAAGCTCAATGAAAATGGTCATATTTTGCTTCAGGAGCATCAAACTGTATTTCGCTGGCCCAAATATGCCGTTAGCCCAATCATCAGGACATCTTCACTGTTAAAGTTGTAGGTCTGCGACCAGTTTCGCTCTCTCAGACAAGATTTTAAAACGGAAAGAAGGCCCAGGTTTAATACTCCATAGTCTACTTTATAGCTACTTCCGAAATAACCCCAGACTAATAACGCGTATTTATTGTATTTCCCATGCAGCTGTCCAGAATTGTGGTGGAAGCTACGGAGGCACCGAAGGGTCGTTCTTTTCCCCTGTTCTGCCCCCTGCCGTTTTTTATAACACGCTGGATTGTGTTTGGCGAATTCAGGTGGATTCAACCTTCACCATCTCTCTCAGGTTCCGTAATGCTTTTTGTTTGTTTTTTCTCTTTGAAGACCTTGTACCAATGCAAAGGGATGACAAAGGGATGTTTTTGTCATAGTTCGATGCAATAGTGTAGGGCTTGATTTGTAATTGGACGGTATGTGGTGGACTTGGGTTGGACTTGCAGGGACCTGTGATGGACTGAACTACAACGCTTCTGTGTACAACTAGCTTTTACACTGATCATAACAGCCTGTCTGCATCATCCAAGCGTTATGGTCCTGTGATGTTGTCTCATAACTTTTGCTCTGTCTTCAGAATCGAATTACTGAATTGGACTGGCGATAACCTCTGTCTGAACTACATCAGTTTCTTGGAGGGCCAAGGGCCGTCCAGTCCTCACGTCCAGATTTGTAACCATGACGACGCCCAGCATGTCTACCACACCAGTTCCAATTTGCTATGGATGCAGTCACGCTCCTTGTGGCCGCACGGAGGCGCCTTCTACGTGGAGTACTTCACGCGGAGGCGCGAGAACGAGAGTGCGGTGTGCGGCGGCGAGTTGCAAGGTTGGTGTCGGTAATAAACTGCATCTCTGTGGTTGAGCAAGAAATGTAGCGATATCTACGGTTCCCGCCCTTCACCGTAGCGTGCCTATAGGAAAGCCAAAGCCACGGCATCAGACGTTCACATGTCCGCGTTCCACCTGCGGATCAGATGTCACATCACACAGAAAGATGACAAGTTTATCAACCAGTTTTTGGTAGGCGGAAAAGGAGGCCACGGAGAACGACGTACGTCATATGCATATTACGCTCAGGACGCAGAATGTACGTACCGTCTTTCTGAGCATAATGAAATTATGCATATGAAGCAAGTCGTTCTGTGTGGCTTTCTTTTCCGTCTACCCCAGTTTTCTCGTGCCTGTAGTGCTTTTGAATGACTCTTGGCGTTTTTTTTTCTGTTTTATTTTTCTGAGCATGTAACTTCTATCAGAAATGTTTCCTTCTTAACACCTCCCTTTGTCTGGTCCCTGATGTTACTTTGTCTACATTAATATTTCATCACAGCTGGATCCGGTATGCTTCAATCTCCTGGGTACCCGAACGCCTACCCCAACGAAGTGCACTGCGTATGGAAGATTACTGGGAGGACCATCATGCTTCACTTTGAGGCCTTTGACGTGGAGAAGGAGGCCAAGTGCTCGTTTGACTTCCTGGATATCCAAGATGGCGACAAAGACCATCCGCAGTCCAGGCATATAGGAAGGTAGAAGACAGCGTATTTCAAGACGGTCGTCATTTTGCCGTGATTTTTGGTTTTTACACATCACCACAGATAAACATTCAAAATTTGCCCAAAGACTCTCAGAAGAACAGATCAAACCAAATTACAACGAACCTTACTTTTCTTTCCACCCGGACAGGTTTTGCGGAAGTAAGATGCCACCGAAAGAAGTGTCGTCTTCCACAGGGGAAGTCTTCATCAAATTCCAGTCGGATGCCACCGTGCGGGCCACGGGCTTCCGGGCGATGTTCGAGGTCCAGCTGCCCCCTGTTGCTTTTGGCTTAAACACGGTCGCGGTCGAGGTGCAAAACACCACAGGCGATGTCTAACGTTGATATATTTTCCATCGTTACCGCGGTTGATGGAGATCTTAAAAGTTACTTGATTTTTGTCAACAAAACAGGATGACACGAGCAGTTTTGTATGCATGAAGTCCGAGGTAAACAGTAGATGAAGTGATTTTGTAGCGAAAATATGTAAGTGCAAATGAGAACTAATCCAGCTTCTTTTACGCTTCCATTCACGCACAACCAGCGGAACAGATGTGAGCAAGTCAGGCCATGCGACTTCTTAATACGCTTTGCCTGGCTAGTCCGAAGACCTGGGTTTAAGCTGTTCTACAGGGTTCTACAATTCCTTTTAGCTGCTAGGTAGAGTTGCAGAAAAGTTGTGGCATTTCATAAACTTAATGAAGACACATAGTGTTTCATATAATTTTATGCTGAACGTTTTGGCGTAAGTGCATTTTCGGCTGCCTTTTAAAATTTCTAAGTCAATTTGTTTTGAAACAATCATTAGTGCTTTGTTTTAATTTATAAAATGTGTTCTTACTGTACTATCAGCAATGCTGCAAGATAAACATACATTTATTCACAAAACCTATTTTGGGTTATTCTTCCTGGTTACATGTTACATGTACTGATCTACATGTATCATTATTTTAGAGGGCAATAAGCCGTGTGGAATGACAAAACTTTTTCAGAGATAAATGGTGCTAACCTTTGGTAATTTACGTCTCGTGGAAATTTATCTTCTCGCTAAGTATCGCTAAGTGTCTTTGGCGGTGTATTTCAAATCATTACATATCTTAATCAATTTTGGATGCACGAATAAAGTGTAGTGAGAATATTTTCAGCAATGAAGAAGAGAAAGAAAAAGTCGAACTGATAACCTCCGCTTGTGTCACACAGTGAGAGAGCCCGCGCGCCTTCCTGGCAGACATTTACCCACCGTTGCTCTGCGAGTTGTTAGATGTGACCCTGTGTGACGTATTTCCTTCACTAAAATCTGTGTAGGGCCATCAGTCCCCTCCCCTGCGCCCCAGGGTGCTGGGGGTGCACCCATGCAAAAAGGCCAGAAATATGTCCGCCTAGCTAACTACTAAAAGTTATACACTCAAAAAATTCTATATTAGAGAGTCCTGAGAGCTATTAGAGAGTCCTGATAGCCATGAAATTGAGGAATTGTAGACATATGACACTGAACCTCTGGCCTGGACTTTGGGCTTCTGATTCTGAGCAATGTGGGTGCAAGGGATTTTTTTTCAAAAATGGCTACTTTTCTCGGCAGATATATTTTCTTCACTGTAGGGGTGGTCTGGTTCTGGTGAAAATTTCTCAAAAATTCATCACTCAGCCCCCCAAAATTGAAAGGAAAATGAAAGGAAGCATGTTGATCATCGTTTTTCTGTGCAGCTTGGACCTGTGAGAGTCGTATGGGGATTTATCATTGCTGTCTGTGGGAAATTTCATTTGTTGCGGTGCACCCTACGGGTGACGAGCGAACGCCGTTCCGAAAGTGCTGAATTCTTTCAGGCGATAGAGGGCGCTGTCGATAGTGATCGCTACAACAAACAAAATGGAGTAGTAAACAGACTCGGCGTAGACCTTCAGTCTGCAAAATGCCTGTAAGTAGGTGGTCCTCACTCCTAAATTACGATAACTTAACCTCTTGACGATAATGATAAAATAATATGTTAAATGCATCTAAGTAAAATGAAATAAGTAACGTCTTTAGTTGGACCTTGTCGGTATTGCTGGCCCAACGCCTACAACTTATAAGCATGTAGGCCTACCCTACGTGTACAGTCCTGTTCACAGTGTCACTGAGACTTGGTGCACTGGCTTTGAACAGCAAGGCTTAAGCTTACTGATGGTTCCGTATGCAAAGGCATTTCTAAAAGTGCTCTGCAATCATACCAGAAAAAAACAATCAAATGTTCCCCTAAAAAGCCCATAAAAGGTGACCTACGTGTAGGCCCCTATATGAAACTAGCGCCATGTGTATTTATTGGCATCTGCATTAGTGTGATTCCCTGATCACAGATTTCCCTGATTTCACTATACATCATCTTAATGAGAATAGTCAGAATTATTGAATCTGGTAGCCAAAGCCACATAAACGCTTGTTACACTGTGCCTGTTTTTTTCATGTGACGTACGACCACAGAATGCAGATATGTGTGGATCATCAAGGGGATTTTAGGTCAGGATGGTAGGAAAAAGCCCATTTTTTGCCAGTAATGTAAGTTACACTCTACAAAATACACACGTGCCCGGTAATTTCATATAGGTTACCAGTTAGTATGGGTTTTAGGGGAAGACTTGATCAAGAAAATGCAAAGGAGGTTTTCTTTGGTATGATTGAAGGGCACTTTTCAAAATGCCATCGTGTACGGAATCATCAAACATCAGGAATCAGTAAGGCCCACAGAGTAGTGCCTTACTGTTCAGGATCGGGAAGTAGTACTGTGCATGCTTGCGGCCATTGATGTACCCTAACATTGCTAATGTGACATGCTTGCGCATGCATTGTCCTTAAGTTAAGGTGGCATCTTTTAATTTTTATCTCCAGTGCCTTGCTAATGTTAGAGCAGTATTTCATAGCACATTTTATTAATCATTCATTCATCTGGAGTTTGTGTAACCTACAGTTTTGTAGTTCCAATTATATATAGGTCTGATACTTTTCTAGGCCTAATTTCAAAGTGCACAATAAAAAGTCCCTTTTTAAAAATCTCTAAAAATAAAAAAGGTAGTTCTCTTACAAACTTGCGTTTTGATAAGTGAGTGGAGGTAATAATGATTTATCAGAATTCACCAACTTTTTTTTAAAAGGTTATTTATTTAAAGGTTAATTTCAGATTTTCTCAAGTTTGTTAGTTAACACGTGCACAAGACCAATTTGTGCCCAATTTCCAGAGTAAATCTCAAAGTGAATTTCATGACACTGAAATTGTTAACAAAGGCTCTACAGCACCATGAGCAGGTGTTCATTTAGTAGGAAGATAAAGACATGATAATAACATGACTGAGCTGTGTCTAGATTAGTTGAGTTTGCTTTAATTGAGACTATCACATCCTTAGCTTGAGAGATAAAATCACTTCAAATGGTGAGAATGCTTCTTATTGAAGATCCAGGAGATTCAGCAGTCACCCCAGACACTTGTGCTGCACTATGGACTCAGCTGAAAGATCAGACAGCACTTTGTAATTTTTGTGTATGTAAATTTTTTTCTGATATTGACATAATTGTTATTTTTCTTGATCAGAGCCACAGACATTCAGGTGCTAAATTACTGAGGCGACCGCTGTCGCCCCCAACCCCACCAGCTGCAAAGCCTTCTGAATCCAACACAGGCCTGTCCAGGAAGACTGATAATGGAAACCTACAGAGCAGAAGCCTACCATCCTTGTCCAGTCTCAGCCAGGATGCTGGGGAGGAGGATGATATGGAGGAGCTTGTATTCCAGGGGCGCAACCTCAGCCCCGTGCCCAGTGTCATCCCTTCCTTGGCCTCTGATTTCCAGGAGGCCCAGCTCGCCCCGCAGAACACCCCCAAGATCCCCTTGATGAAGCACTCGCCTCGGGCCCGCAGGTCCCACTCGGGCCCCGTCACCTCCCCCCGGGTGCCGCCCCTCAGTAAAACCGACCTGCCGTTCATCCTGGACATGCGGTACAAGCCCAGGGGAGCCTCTGCTGAGACTTTCCGCCCAGGATCGCTGGTCCAGCCGTACAAGCCACGTGGGCCAGATGGCTTCCCATTCCGGAACCCAAAGCGGCTGCCAGAAGTCAAGAAGGAGCTTTTATACCTGGACCACGAGCACATGAGGTACCACCTGCCGCCAGACTTCACCCTAGAAGATTTCCAGTTGGAGTTTGCAACCTACGGGAGACCATTTCAGCGGGAAAATTTGAAGAAAGCGATACTATCCAAGCAAAACTATAAGAAACTGACAACACTTTTTGCCTCCTTTGTGGATTCCCCTGTGCAAGAGAAAGTCAACACTGTGGAATTGAAAGGTAAGCTCAAAGACACAAGTCAAAAATTTCAGTCAGGTAGGTTGATCTTATTATCTAGAAACCACATCAAGTGGGCAGCAAGGATTTGCTAAATATTTACTCCTAGCAGGAAGAAGAGATGGTTTGTTCCTTGCATAACAACAACCCTTTGATGGGAACTCATCTTGTGCCTGCTACAAGCGCTGATCACCACCAAGATCAATTTTATTTTTTTATTATAGCTAAATTTACAGCTTTAAAACACCCTAATTCTGTAGAGTTTCAATGTGCATTATACATGTCCATGTAACGTAGCAATAGGGTGTTATAATGCTGTGTTAAGTCATCATAATTTGTTCTAACATCTCACAGGGTGTTAATATGTCTAGTGATGATGATATCAGAGAAAGGAAAATATTTGTTTTTGGCAGAGATAAGCCATCGTAGCCTGGACAAGTTCGTGCACAGGTGGTGGAGGCCATGCTGAGCATGTGTAACCAGTTTTTGTTGGCTTGAACTTGTACATGTCTGCTTGTGTGCTGGCTGTGTGCTCAAGCTCGGTTGAAACACTCCGACCAGTCTTTCTCTTCTTTGCTAGTTGGTTGGTTGGGGAGACACTTTTAGTCAAGTGAAGTGAGGAGAAGTTGTGTACAAGTGAAGTACAGTGCCTATGCTTGACTTTGTTGGTGAACACTTTCATTTGATGTTCGTCCCCTTTTTTGAAAGAGTTTTTCTTGTTTCTGAACTCCCCTCAAAGGTGAGGATATCCCAGAGGTTGTCCCCCGAGTCCCCCAGCACCAGCTCCTTATAGAGATGGCCAGCATTATCCGCCAGCAGATGAGGACCATGATCAACGAGGAGATGGTTGGGAGCCTGTCAGGCCCTGTGACGACTGACCAGCCCACAACGGTGTTGACCACCCCAGCCACGGCAGCCTTGGCCTACCAGCAGGCTGAGTCGGCTTCCAGTGCCCTGGCGGCATTGTCAAGGTAGGAACAGGTGTTCAGCCTACCGTCCAAATCTAGACTTGGTCTCAGTCTCGGACTTCACCTGACTGTCATAGCCTGAAGACTTTTGAGCCCAGTAAAAAGTCAGGTTTTGCTGGGAGAGCATCTTGATTTACATGCACGTGCATACACTGAGTATATAGTGTTAAAATACAAGTCGGGCAGGGCAAAAATCCAAAATTAATTTACATCTCCCCGGCACAAAACCATCCTTGAAATAGTTGTTTGTGGTACCCGCTGCTATATCTGATTCGAACCAGCCAGCTGACACCGGCAGCTCAGTGGCCGAGTAGTTAAAGACGTCTGCACTAGCAAGCAGGAGGTCGTGGGTTTGAGTCCCACTTGAGTACACTAGTCTTGTGGTTTTTTCACAAGCCTTCGGGGCATACACTGAGCATACAGTGTTAAAATACACATAAATTAATTTACATCTATCTCTGGCGCAAATCGATCCTTGAAACATGCATACTATCAACCCAGAGGTGGAATTACTCTCATTTTGAGTTTTAACACTGCAATCTAAATGCAGTTGTTTTGGGCCTAGGGTAAAGATTGAGATGAGATTTGGAGAACAGCTCTTGGGATGGCTTTGATCGAAGCCATCAAGGGATATGACTGTGATTCCGGGTGTGTAACCCTTAAAACCTTGGGTTTATTGTTTGCTTTGAAGTCTCAGAATCCTCTGAAATCGTCTTGTGGCCCACGCTATGTACTTCACCTTCCTAGGGGCAAAAAAAACGCCAGTGAAGAAGTCGATGGCTTCATTGGTTTACCAACCATCTTCAGCCCTTCCACTGTGCTGGAAATTTGAGTTACATTCTTTACAGATACATGTACTTGTACTTTGACTTTATAGAGGCACCAAGCTCTCATGTAAAGAAATAATGCCCCAAATCCTCAATTCTGGATTTATTTCTGGAGAACGCTGAAGGATCTCTGAAGGGCTAGGACTAAGATGATATCCAGTTGGTATTTCCGCATGTCTCTTGTGTGCATTTGCTAACAAGAAAAGTTGCTTCATTTGTGTGCACTTTAAAACACATGCAATGCCATGTTTCACATTTCTTTTCACATGATTCCTTGTTGGCAGTGACCAATCAAGATGAATTGGATCCAGATACTAAACTTTGATTAAGTTGAAGTGTAGCCCACACTCTTTAACTTGAAATGTCTTTGAGATTCAGGCCACAATTAACAAGGTTACCACAACTCGAAACGCCTTTAATACGTTGACTATGAGTATACTCGTACTCACAGGTGAACCGGATTCTGCCACTACAAATGGAAATGAAAGGCCACTGTAATGTAAATTGAAAACACTGGCATCACCCAAGAACACAACATATACATTGCTGGCAGTGTTTAGAACACACTTCCATAAAATGCTTATGTTCAGAGGGACACCTGAAAGGCACAAGTACATGCACATAAATATTGTCGCATTCGTACAACGTTTGGCAAATGGGAAAGCCCCTTTGAAATTATGCATGGCAGTCAACATGTTTACTGGATTTGTCGCAGTCCGTAAACACTCTCACTTTCTTTGTTTTGCCTAGCAGCAGGCAAGCAGATTCAGTCAATGAAGTCATGTTCAACATGCCCGTCTCAAAGTACTTCCAGGGCTCTCGAAGGAGCAACTCTCCTTTCAGTAAGTCTCTCTCTATCAACTGTGTTTTAGCTTATCAGATTAAGCTCAGAGTCAACGTGCATGATACATGTATATGGTTCAGCCATAATAAGAAAGAAAATGCAGGGTCATGTCCTTATCTTGAAACAGGGACCTACTGTTACATGTATGTTTGATAGTCATTCCTGTGGGGTGAGGGGATTTTTTTTTCTGTTTTCTTGCCTTATACTATATATTTTCAGGATAACTTGCTTCCGGGCAATAGGAAGTTTGTTTTTGTTGTCCCTGGCCTGCATGGTACTTTTTTGTTTTGTCTGGAAGTTTTTTTGTTGTCAAGTGATTTTTTTCTCACACCTGCATTCTCGCCTCATACGCTTAGATTCCCAATCATTTATGATCATATTTCTGCTGATTTTTATGCTTGTCTAAATGCCCTCTTATCGTTGTCTATGTCTATATATTTTTTGTTTCGTCCCTTTTTTGCCATTCGTTTTTTGTTGTCTACTTTGAGATTTTTGTCATTTTTTGTTTTAATAATAACTTTTAAATCGTGTTCCATGAGATGTGCTAAATGTTGTTTTTCCTATGCAGATGAGCAAGACTCGTCCACCATCACACCATCGGAGCTGGCCATCTTGGACTGCCTCGTCAACGGCGGTCTCGCACTCAGCTTGAAGGTATCTTGCCAGACAATTATTGAATGGAAGAATTTCTGAGAGTAGTGCACGAGCATATCTTGTTTGGAATACATATGTACTTATTGTATATCTTTTATCGGTAGATGCTTACATCACTATAACAAAGTCACACTTAATCACAATAACTTACTAACTGAACAGCTTACACAGCAGTTTTAAAGTTTTCTTGTGACACTTATTGCCTGGCAAAACCACTTGATGCCCCTGAACTCACTTCTCTCCAAATGATACTGACAATGGGCCCAAAACCCATGGAATACAGTCATTTGGGGCAGTACTGTTTGCGTTTGTGCTCTGTGCACGGAAACCATCAGCAAACGAGAAAACAGCTGATTGGGTGACCATTTGAATTAGATGTCGTTGGGAAGTGAACACGTTGTTAACACACCTAATCCATAACTTGCTGTTGCATATTTATATCACAAAGGAAGCCCTTTTCTCGCTTTCTGAGTCGACAGGATCGTGTACTGATGATGTCAAGCTTTGTTTACATGTCCCTTTCCTATGGGGCTTCAAATCTGTCATCCTCACCTAGCTCCCATAAGAAAGCACTCATCAAAGTAAAGAATGATGTCATCATACACAATTATGCAATAATAACTTGTTAGAAGCTCACCATGTTAGGACATTGATTTTTGTCACTTTGCTGCTGATTTGAATCATACTTCTCCTTTTTTTCTGTAGGCTCATTTCATCTTAGCCTTGCCTGACATTACTCCACTGACCAAGACTCTGACCTACTTGAATCTATCCTTCAATGACTTCAGGGTAAGTGTTCCAAGCAGTCTGAGCACCAGATATGTACACCATGATCATGAACACCACATTTGTGACCTGCCGACAAGGGGTCTTCACCCCTGTGATGTTCCCTGTCAGTTTTCTTGTGTGTTTGAAAAGAAGTAAGATGCAAGCACACGTTGTATCACTAGAAAGTCTGTTTCTTGCTCGTTCCTCTCATTTACGTATCTCAAAATTGAAGATTGTTACTCATTATTCCTAAGCAGGTCACATTCAAAGAATAGGAATGTAGTAACGTAAAACACAGACAATGTGAAACGTTTCCCCAATACCTGACAAATGCCAGCCTCCCTTTTCATAAACTTTCCAGCCTGAACTAAATTGCTGTTTGTGCTTCAACCTTGCAGGTGTTTCCCCCCGAGCTTTTGACCTTGCGAAGCCTGGAGGTCCTCAAGCTGCGCAATAATCCCCTCAAGGAGCTTCCCTATGACATCCACCGTCTGTCCAAGCTCCGGACGCTGGTGGTATCCTTCAATCTCATCACCGCACTTCCACCGAGGTAGGGAAACTTGTACATCAAAGACTCATCAGCCGACCAGCGATTGCCTTGGTGCATTTCATTGCTGCGCACGCACTGCTTGCTTTACATTAAAGTAGAAATGAGCTCTAGTGGAATTCCAGTTACCCCTGAAAGGTGCTGAGATTTTTTTGGGGGGGGGCTTGAATCTTGGCCATTCAGTGACAGTGTTCCAATTAATTTTGTACACATGTACAATATAAATATCTATGCTTAGTACCTTTCAAAACTATTAAGCCACAGAGTTTTGTTATTGAAACATTGATTCACAATTTGAGCTGTTTAGGAGCCCTTTTCTATGTGTTTGGTCAGCGGACCAAATTTACTTTTTTTTCACCAGCCTTTTTAACGTATTACACTTTTCCAACTACAGTCAACTGTCATTACAAAGTTACAGGGACCAGGTAAATTGCTTTTTTATAACCAGGACTTTGTTATAAAAGGAGTGGAAAAACAAAGAAAAACATGAGAATTAAATTTGAAAAAATTGGGATTCTCAGAACTTGTTCTTTGTAGCAGTATTTTCTTAAACAGTGTATCTTATTAAAGAAACGTGAACCATAGATGTTGTTCAAATCAGTTGATTTTGTTGTCCGTAGCTCTCCTAAGTTTGATATATCCTGCCTTGGAAGACAATCAGAGCTGAACCATTTTAGATTATTCAATTTGAAACCGGTAGGATTGGTTGGTGCAGGAAGTTGCATTCAGTGACTGTTTCTCATTTCTCATCTCCCAACCACAGCTTGTTTACATTGCCGCTTCAGTTTTTGGACCTGTCCTACAACAAGCTTACATTTCTGCAAAGTGAAATAAGACATTTAAGGTAACTAATCAATTTTTTACTCTCCGATTTATTGATACCAATAGTAAAGCAAAGCAACCAGTTGTTTTTTTTATAATTCTCTTGAGGCACCAGTCTCACAGAATAAGCCTCTTAACATTCCACATTCAATTTGGTTTCGGCATTTCATTAGAGGCAGATACGAGCGACATTGGCAACAGGTCTACATCTGTCATCTGATGTTTTCTTGGAGGCATGTAGCAACACTGTTCTGGCAACTTTAGAACTCATTTTCTTCAACAGGGCTATGTATGTCATATGTGCAAAGTGGTTGGCTGCTCCAAAGTGGCTTGCCCAAGGATGTAATGTGGGCAGTCGTTGGATTTGAAGCCCTGGCCCAGTGGTCATGAGTAACAAACCTTAACCACTGGACCATGCTCGTCCACCATCCAGTAAAGGTACAGAGTGGAGTGGAAAACTAGAGAGCCAGCATGCTTCACTCTCTGTGCCTGTGCACGTTCTGCTCTAACATAAAGAACAGGAATTCATTTCCGAAGTCTTATTTCTGTGGTACATGTATGTAGACTACAGAGCAGTTTTTCAAATCTGAATTCTAATGGCTGCTTTATTTTTTCAGCTTGACCTAAAAAAATTCGATGGCTCAATTCACCCACGTGATCACCTTTTGTCCAACCAGCAGCGATTCTTTCATTTGCATTCAACTCTAGGTCCACCCTGCGGGAACTAAACGTTGAGGGCAACCAGCTGCCCGCCCTGCCCTGCTCTGCCCTCAAGCTCAGGAAATTACGCTACCTGAGGGTGACCAATAATTTCATGCATCCCCTCTTCTGGAAGGAGAACAGCCAGAATGACCCACAGGTAGGCTTTGGAATGTCTCACTCATCAGGGAAATTGTTAAAGCAAGGCAAGAGGCTGTGTGTAAACTCAAAACCATAACGTGCGTGGAAGGTATTGAAAAGGCAAATTTCTGAGCCTGTTTGGGATACCTGAAATGCAGGAACCTCATTTTCAAAGGTTTTTTTGCAATAGCGTTGAATCCTCTGAATCCCTCAGAATACAGAGAAGAAAAATAACAATACTTTTGTGGAGGATTAAACTCCATTACATTCTACAACTTCCTCAGTCATGCAAGATCCTTCTCAAGCTCTTGCTGTACTATGAAAGATGCTGGAGCATTAGGATTAATGTTGTATAGCCAGTGAGCATGCAATACCCTTTCTTGGACAATCCTGATGAATAATTCAGATGTGATTTGCCTTCTGTTTCAAAGATGAGAAGGATCTCATGGTATACGTACAGTGTATTAATCCAAACAGTCAGACTGTTGCTGAAATTGTAACATCTTAACTTGATTAGAATTTTAAAATCTGTGTCATGAATCTATCCCTAAGAACATGTCCTGTGCATGATGATTTGATAAATTCCATTGCTGTATTCCTGTATTCTTTGCAGCGACTGCTGGATCTAGCCTCACTAGCTGTGAAGCAGAGCGGGCTGGATAGATTCAAGCCCAGCGTACTACCAGATTCCCTGCATTCCGTGCTAAATCGGTAAGCAGGCATTATTCCAGATTTGCTGTTACATAAGGTGGCTTCTTATACACACGATTTCAACGTGCCATGTGCATAGGTTTCGGAGAGTGTTCTTCAAAATTCATGGGCAGATCCAAAGGGGACCAATTTGAATAAGAATAGAGAAAGGCGATTTTGTGGTCTGTTTCATTTCCCTTAAAGAGCATGCAAAAGCTCCAAACTGCAGCCTCGCCCCTCACAAAAAAATTTCCGAATTCTTTGGTCCCAAAACGAGTTTGGCCCCTGCCCCTGAAAATTGAGTTTGAATCTACACTTGTCGAAATTGTACAGGAGTGATATACGGTAAACAGGTGTGGATATGGAATGGACTAGAAAGCCTACACATGGAAGGAAACCTTATCCTTGAATAAATGTATACAATTTCAGCAGGGGGAAGACTCAAATCATTTTCACAGGGGCATGTAGGGAAATGCATAGAAATGTGTTTTCGTTAATAGATTGGGGCATTTAGGTACTGTACCAGAAGTTGTGCACAGTGTTGAGAAAAATGGACTGACTTGTCTGAAATTCCAAGCGAGTCTGTATGGGATGTAGAAAACGGGTTGCAGGGGTGGATCTAGAGGGAGGTTGCAACCCCCCCTTCAGCTGCGGATTGAATGGAACTACCACTGAAATGATGGAAAATGAGTAGGCCTACCCAAAAAAAAAAAATTTCCTAGATGAGGTTTGCACTGTTGATCTATCCATCTACAGTTAAACAATTACATCAATTTCCGGTGAATCCCCTTTAGCAGGGCATCTCTTCAGTACGTCCATCAACCCCCCCTTTCCCGAAAGCTAGATTCGTCCCTGGGTTGAGATCAGGCAGATGCATCGGTTACTCATTTTGGGGACAGTGGACGTGCTCATCAAACTCACTTAATGCCAGTAATACATTGCTGACACCACAACACTCGATGGTACTCGAGGTTGCTTCCATAAAACTTACGAAACTGCACAATTGTAGTTTTCGCCAACTGTAACTGAGTACTGCATGCACACACTCATTGCATTTTGGTTTTTACAGAGTGAAACTTTTCTCAATTTTCCCAATTAAGAAATTTATTCAGGAATTTTTTTTCTCAATCCCACAAGTAAATAAATGAAATAAATTCGTGTAAAATCCTAACGATTTTCTCTGAACGGTGTACATGTATATCCACTCCATGCTCACCTGTGAGCAAAGCGTCCGTGTTAACTGTGTGTGCATGTCAGTTGTTAAACCACGATTTTTTATTGCACAATTTTCATGAAGTACCCACACCCAAGTTTGCGCTTCAGTCTGTGACAACGGTCACACATTTCATCTCTTCCAATTCCTTTCTGCACAGCTACTCCAGGTGCGATTGTTGCCAGGGCCCCTTGTATGGGCCAGGCTTACGGGTCATCCGGCCCTGCAGCAAGGCCTTCGGGGTGCGCAAGCTGCCCTTCCTCTTCACCTCCTGCTCCCCTTACTGCCGAGACTCCTTCCTGACCAGCGTGGAGTCGCTCACGCAGATGCTGTACATGGATGACTGATTTGCCAATGGCTTGATGAACCAAGGGAGACTTCCTCCAGCATTGCCTAGTGCTTCCCCTTGTTTTGTCTGTGACATCACTTGAAATGAGTGGAACATATGAAATGGAGGAACCCCACATGCCCTGTGAACATTGACATTAGTTAGGGTTCCAAGGGTCATGGAAAATCCTGGTAAAAAGGTTGTCCTCGAAAGTCATTGAAAAGTTGTGGGATTATGGGATGATTGGAAAAAAAAGGTTGCTGTCAGAGGGAAAAATGGTCATGGAAAGGTCTACGAAATCAAATCATGTGAGGGTTATTTTTGATGGGCTGCTTTTGATGTGTTGACGGAATAAAGATAAATTACAGGCTTTCCTCGTCAGTCTGTAGTATGTCAGTCTTCCAGTTCATAATACCAAACAACATTTCTCTGTCAAATGTCATTTAAAATTTTTATAGTTTAGTCCTGGAAAGGTCATGCTTTGCAGGAATCCTGATTAGTGTTTTTACTGTCAAATCCTCAGTGACTGATTTTGGTTAGGGCTGAGATTTTGGGCTTTTGCAGAATTTCTTCAAGACCTCCTCCTAGAAGACAGTTGAAGCATTCCAGGGCACCTAGTTATTCAATATTTCCATACAGTAGATAGAACACGGGGCTTGTGAAATATCCTCTGTGTTTATTTGTAGTTCATGTGGTCTTCATTTTCTTATCCTGTATTAACATTCAGGAAACCTTTCCAAAATATTTCCAGTAAAATTTCAGTAAATAAGTAATTCCTTTCTTTAAATACTGCTAATTTAAAACAGTTTTGTATATATTCCACTTTAAACTTTCTATCCGTTCTTATGAAAAATTGTAGAAATAATGTAGCTTTGTACATTAAAAATGAAATTATTACACAGAATGTGTCTAAAAACTTGTTTATCTCTTAACCAATTTGATTTCCTGGATAGTTATTCAGGAAATTAAAATGTTTAAAGTTCAGTTAGAGGTTATTTAAACGTGATTTCATTTATGTTGAATTCCTCCTATGGTGAACATCTCCTACAATTAAGTACATAAAAATTCAAGCATGAAAAATAAATGTAATTTTTATGACTAAAAATGATTGAAATTTAACAAAGGCACATTAAAAGATCAAGTAAAAAAAGCAAAAACAGTCCTTTTACAATTTGAACAAAGTTAAATGTCATATAAGTGCATATAACGGCACACATGTTTCAAACATCAGTCAGTCAGATTGCACAGATATTTACAGAAAACATATCGTCTCCCCTACTGGACGCCCACTGGCAAGAATCAGTAGTGGACACATACGGAGACTGTATTCCATTCTACAAAATATCTTTCGTAAAAGAACTTTAGAAACCTCTTTGTTACTAAATTTAAAACGTCTAACAAATTGTGGAGTGGTCATTGATCTCTTGCATCAGTTTGCTTCAATCGCAAGATGTTCCTTGGCATACAAAATCAAATCCCGGAACATATTTTCCCCTACCTCAAACACCAGCGGCCAGGTCGGTCCAAGCACGCCGTGGAACCCGCCTTGGTAATGCTCCCACCTCACTGGTACTCCGGCCTCTTGGAGTCTGATCGCGTAGAATGCGCCGTGGTCTCTCAGTGCATCGAACTCGCAGGTAACCACGAATGTTGGTGGCAGGCCGGCCATCTCTCGCCGCAGCAACGGGCTGGCTCGCGGGTCCAGGACTATGTCATCGATCTGATCCCAGACGTAGTCGTCTCCTCTCTGCTCCTGGAGATGGGGTGGGGTGAGATGGCCGTAGTCTTGCATGTGCAGAGGCAGCATGGTGTGGTTGACGAACTGCGCCAAGGGAGACTCCCTGCGGAACTCCACGGATGTATGGGTGTTATCGACAAGTGCTCGTACCACGCGCTCATCCAACCTCCCTAGCAGGTAGAAACAGGTAAACTCGCCCGCCTCCTGCCAGGTTACCATCGACCCCTCCTCGCCGAAGAGCGAGATGGAGAGGAAAGTTGCTGGTGTGTGATTGTCGATGAACTGTGTGATTGGATAGATGAGAGCCTGAAAGGCCACGTCGGGATAGCCCGGCTCGTCGTGAAGGATCTGAGCCACGGCAGCAGCCAGGGCACCGCCAGCGCTGTCCCCGGCTATGCCGATTCGCGAAGAGTCAACGTTGAACTCCTGGGCATGGTCCATGAACCATTTGGTGGCGTTCAGGCAATCCTCGTATGCAGCTGGGAAGGGATGCTCTGGAGCTAGTCTGTATCTGCAGAAAAAGAAAGCATGGATTTCTTTTAGCCATTGATAAGCACGCAAACAGTTAAGTAGCGAAGGTCCTGTGGACTTTCCAAATTACCTTGTTATAGAGGTACCTCTTTTTATCATCAATGAAAAACAAAGACTTGGGACAATTTGCCTTGTTATAAAACATGACTTTGTAGCCTATTATAATATCAATATTCTATGTGTTTGACTGTAATCAACCTCTTACCCTAAAACTAACCCTTCCCCACAACAAAAGTTCAACACAAATTTATTTTGGAAAACCCAACAGAAACAAGTATTATGTGTATACCAACTTTCAATCAGGGCGGGTAAAACCAACACATCCCCAACTCTTATAACTCATGGACTACACAACACTTACTCAATAGATACCAAAACACAGTCCAGCTCTTCCGCAAAACGCCTTGTCAGAAAGTCAAACATTGCTGTCGGGACAAAATGGAAGCCAAGAAATATAATTATCAGCTTCCTCTTCACAGCTAATAGATGTAACTTGTTCTCAGGCTCTTCGGAGTCTTCTTCTCTTCGTGTATGTACATGCTCAATCTGTCGCACATTAATCTTCGCCGTTACGCGATTTTATTCTCATCACTCCGGCTGACTGTCCAACCACCGCCTTACTGACCGACAATAGGTTTCCAGAAGCCAACCAATCATCTTAATACTCCTCGATCAAACACGGGTGACTGGTTGTCCTGGCCAAAGGTGGAAGGTTGGTACTTGTTAAATCACTTTCATAAGGGCTATTAATGTCAGGTTAAAGTCATTAGGGCGAGAAAAATGAAATGGCAATTCCACCTTGGAGGGATAACAGTTTTTTTTGGTTTTGACACTTTTGTTATTACACTAACTTTGTGTATACTGAAAAACATACATTTCCTTTCATTGGTCAAGAGCTTCCACGTTCAAAAGATTCTAAGAAAAGTGTTGAAAATATCTCACACAGCTACCGAAAAACTAAATAACTACACTGCTAAAGAAATATGAACATTCCCCCCAAATATTTGGGCATTATTATGAGCATTTTGATGCAATTTTTTAAGCTACCCAAGGTCATATTTCCGCAAACTTTAGTCACCCGTGCAAGTATTACATAGGCTAAATGAGAGGGATCTTAAGAAACTGTAAGCACAAAAACCGGCACTGTTACAAATTCCATGCTAATTTTGTTACTATACTGGCAGATTCTTACAGCTCCATAGGAGCCTATAACTTGCGTTCGCCACAGATTTCACGTACCCTAACCCTCCTCAATCCTCCAAAATCCTTTGGGTGGTTTTGGAGGATTTTGGAGCATTGCGGATGAATGGCAAAAGTGTATGGCCGATTGCAAAGGATGCCATGTGTGAATGTTGTGGGTTGGACCTTGTGTTGCTTATGCTTAGTCATGCATAAATTTACCTGATATTACTTTGAAATCAACTACACTGCCCGAGCAAGCCATTTGCACCGCCTCAACATAATGGCAGGAGTTTCTGGAGGATTTTGAAGGATTAAGGACATGGTACCTCTGATTTGGAGCATAAAGGCAAAGATCGGAGGATTGACGATGAATGCAACTTTTAGACTAGGGCCACTGAAGGATTTTGGAGGATTGAGGGCGAGCCCAAGCAAAAGGCCCTATAGTAGGTTAGGGTTAACCGAAACTGAGTTAGAAGTCGCCAGAGCCACTTTTGAGTTTTAGTGTGTATTGGAAAGAGCAAAGTCAGACCTCTCTTTTAACATATCACTCAGTTTGGTATCCTTCATTTACATTATAATGAAAATGTATGTGGGTGAAAAAATTGAGGATTCCTGTGTGCAAGATTCAAAGGCCTTCAACCCAACTGTGGCTCTGGTGACTCATTTTTACAGAGGGGCTCAAAAATATTGTGCTATTTATCCTTCTTTCAGCAGGTTTTCATCAAAATGTGTCTTTTGCCAAAAATATTTTACTCAGTAGCTCTGTGAAAATGAGCTCACTTAGCTGCTAGCCTTCATACACATATACCGGTATCGCCACACACTCACCAGTACTTCCAATGACAAAAGCGCCACCATGTATAAATACCACTGCCGGTCCAAAGTCAGCCCTCCTTTTGATTGGTTCATAGAGGCGAACTTTGACCCCCTCAAAGGTTGTTAACGTGTACCGGATGTTGGAACCCCGCACTTCCGGAGGAGAAGCCACCACGAAAGCTGCGCTCTCGACGAAGGAGCGAAAAAGTTGAACATAATGCGAAGATGTAAAGAGAGAGAGAACGTACGCCTACGAACCAAAAGGCAAAGATAGCCGAGCATTACTTTTCTTTGAAAATCATAGGCGTACATGATGCAATCGCACATTTCCTATGTGTAAAATGAAAACTGGGTTTACTTTGAACATATTCGATTAGTATATTAGTCTATCTATTAGTCTTGCCCAATCTTTTTAAATAAACCAATCATTAAATACATCGCTCTGTACAAGCAATAGCGCCATCACAAATATCATTTTGGATTATTATCTCAACAACGACGCACTTTTATAGCCAAATATTTTTAAATCCAATCTTTACTACGGTAAATACAATTGCTGTGTACAAGCAATAATTCCAACGAAACGAAATCCCAAACAACTTTCCTTGGCTCTTCATTTACTACTTGTAAATAAAAGAGTAGGAACTATTCGCTGGCATAATGGCTGCTGTTAAATAAATGTTGCTGAGGGCGCGACAGTATCGGTGTAACGCATGCCATCAGAGAATTTAGGCAATGGTAAATTAATAACTATAACTGTTGCGATATTTTACCCTAAAATTTACAATAGTCAGCTCTAATACCGCAAAACGCGTTTTGAATTTCAAAGAACTTTAACTAACGGAAACGCTGGATTCCTGTCGGCGGTATTCTAATAATGATAGCAATAATATTAGGGGTCGATAAAAATATAATTAAGATTTATTTTAGTTGTCTCATAATCGAAATAAAAGCACGAGTATTCCATATGATGTTAAACAATTATCTTATATGACGTGTCTCCGATAACTTACCGCATCGATCGCAATTCGTTTTGCAGCGACAAAGCCCTTGTATTTCCAGGGGTCTCGGATGCCATCTGGTGTGGGGTTGTTGAGGTAGTAGGCTGCCACCAGAATCCAAAAGATGAGTAGCAATGATGTTGCAGCAGTCCGGACTCCAGACTGACTGGATGTAGCATGACTTCAAAGGAATTTGATTAAAAAGCTATATACTTCTCCAAGATGGAAATTATGATGAAAATGACCAATGCTATAGGATTTAAGACTTGAAGGTTTTCAAGGTGAAAGAAACCAGATGAGTAAAATGGTTGCGGTTGCACCATGTATCACTCTCTTGAGTATGTGTGGTTCTGAGAAGAACCGGGGAATAACTCGACGTTTCCTACAGTGTACACTGTCCGTCTTCAGGACACTGCAGGATTCTGACTGGGAGTGGAGCTCAGCTAAAGGATTTTTTTCAAGAGATTGGACTTTTCCTTGAGGTGCCTATAACACTTATCAGCAGCAAACTGATAAACCATTCTTCTTCTTCTTAGTACTGCACACAAACTCCTCAAACGGGATATACTGTTGCAGGTGTCGTGGCCAGTGTAAACTAATAATGGCCCCCCTAAAAAAAAGGAATTGGATCCATGTTGATTAATTTTGTCTGCAGCCTGTCAGCTGTAGTTACTTGTCGTATGCCTTTCGGCAGTAGGCTCCACCCAACTATGGTTCTTGGCAGAAATGAGTATCTGTAACAGTCCTTTTTGATGGTGGGGTGAACAAAGGAAGTTGCAGTTGATTTCCGGGTGTGAATTTTATCGACGGCTTGTTTGATTTGATACTTGTCAGTGTTGATGGCTATCGTATGATGTATGGACTTAAACATGAGTGTGAGTCTGGATACGGCCCGGTGGATATCCAGTGATTCCCAACCAAATTCAGATATAGTAGAGGAGACACTGCTGATCCTTCTTGAGTCTTTACAGACGAATCTAGCTGATCTTTGTACTGCTTCCAACTGGTTTTGTGATCTTGCTTGTATACTATGGTTCCCACATTGAAGAGCAATATTCCAATTTGGGTCGCACTAAGGCTTTGTAAGCAACGGTGGAAGGGGTAATTTCCGAGGTCTTTTTAAGTAAACTGGTATTAAAACATAATGTTCATCCCTTTCCTCTGTTTTCGTTTTTCTTTTTTTTAACCGATAAAATTACATTTTGAATCCCACACAAAGTACTACTTGTTACACTTCCCTCGCCTGATGATACTTGCTGTATTGAGGGTAATTGAGGTGGCGTACGGGTTCCTCTCTTCCATCTCTGCGGACTGGACTGCATGGGTTCGATTAGATTAACAACTATAGCAAGTAATAGCAACTAAATGCTATGAGACACCATGATGGAGACGCCAACAAATCGTAACTGGGCAAAGGTTTTCCCCTGCTTTATAAGCCGATGCAAAGCTCGGGGAACTTAAAGCAGTCCAGTTCAGGCCCAGTTCTATTTTCACGAGCCTGGGGAAAAGAGAGATATTAAATCGGCGGCCTGCAAAAATAATTGAACCCTCAGTCCCATCATACGTGTGGACAAAAGTCTTTCAGACTTGTATACGCCGATATTCATTTCTCAATAATTCGGTTAAGTCAACTCAGTGGATTGGTCTTACCTTCTAGCCAGGCCCATATTACTGTGCTTCATCCGTGGCTTGTAACTAGCTAGTACTAAATGGACGTGCAGCCTGCGCACTGAGTCAAGCTGGGAGTCATGTCTCCATTGCCATGTATAATAACTACAATTAAATCCAGGGTGGCATTTACGTGTACATACAGTGCGTTCAACTGCAGGTTAATCATGCAGACAGCTCAGCTGGACCTTCGCCCATGTTTACAGTAGCCTGAACAAATTAACGTGCTTTGTGACAATGTACCGCGGACGTGTACCTTGAACAGTACTAAGAGGTACTGGCCGGTCCGTCTCTAAGTGTGGACAACAGTCCCAACGTGAAGAGCACACGTTCTTCAGTATATTACCTTATCTGCTGTACAATTTCGGATTTTTCAATCCTTTCAGCGCCGACAAGCGCATAAGGGTTATACAGAGCAAGACAAACTGCCCACAAACACCCCTCTTGGCATTGGTTGATCCCTATCACTGTCTGGTTATAGAGAACACACACCTTGCTAAAAAGCACAGGCCGAATGTCCCTGCCACACGTCCTGATGCCCAGTCGTGCATTACAGGGCGCATCAATATGTCATTACGTAACTCATAATACCAGCATCCGTCATCCTAACATATTCAGGCTGAAACCACGCATGGATTCCCTCCTTCATGAACCATGTAGCTGTGAGCGGTACCAGAAATTTCTCAAACCGTGTGTCAAAACAGTACTAATGAATTAACAAGGCCGTGGTGCTAAGCTGCACCTTGAACTATTATAGCACATAATTATGCATGGGAAAAATACAGTTTGATTGGTTGGATTTTCTTCACTGAATAGGCTGACCGATTCATGTCCGACAGACTGCACAAAAGTCCGACATGCGTTCACGCGCGTGTGATGCGCGCAGCTGGAAAATGTAGTGTGGCATAGTTATGCACGTACGCGCACAAATGGCCTTGGAGGCAAGGGCCATTGAAAATGTACAGGGGTGCTATTTTTATCATTTTCTCTTAGGTTTTCTGGCTTTGTTCAGTTTCTTTCATCAGAAAATCCCATTAAATCGCTTTTGCTATTAGTTTCTAATCTAAGTGGGGTTTAAATTTCCCCGCTCAATCTCGTGGGCAATAAATCTGGACTGCAAAGTATTTTTACCGTGCACAGGGCATTAAAAATCCCGCTTAGATTAGACACTAATAGAAAAAACAATGTAATGATATTTTCTGATGAAAAAAAGTGAAAAAAGCCAGAAAACCCGAGAAAAATGATCAAAATCGCACCCCTGTACATTTTCAATGGCCCTTGCTGTCAAGGCCATTTGTGCGCATGCGTTAACGATTATGAATTTATTAGTGAAAAGGTATATTGGGAGAATAGTAAGTGTCCACGTACACAGAGGGCAGGGCTTATTTGATCGTCTATTGAAGAAGGGGTACAGCAGTGAGAAAAAACAAGCTATTCGGCATCCGGCACCTAGCCTGCCGCAGCCGAAGTTAGTCAATGAGTGGCGGGAGGGGTTGCCGCTAAGGAAAACTGAAGGAAAACTGACAAACAAAACTAATTTGAAAGTAAAATTCAAAAAATTCGGGGGGGGGGGAGAAAAGGGAGACAAACAAAAAGAAAGGAGGGGAGGGATAAAATCAGCAATGCACATGTGAACACCTCGGAATTGACCCCCTTCTATACCATAAGCTGCTGCTGATTCTTTGAACCCTGGAAACTTGCCCCTTCCTGGCAATGCCCAAGAGGGTTTTTTTTTGGGGGGGAGGAATATGTTAATAGTTTATGTTGCCTGTGGTAGGTGCAACTTTAAGGTTGCAAAGGCCTTTACAAGGATACGCATGCGTTGACCGTTCCAGCAGGTTTCACTCTTTGAGGAACCTTTATACGTCAATTAATGATAAAATGATAAATATAGAAGGAACAAAAGGAAATCCCTCGAAGATGGCTGCTTTTCTATGGCTGTTCCTTGCTCTGTTCTGATGAAAGGAACGCCAACACAACTGCTGGATAGTTGCGGTTACGAACCTCTACGTAAATACAAGTAAAGGTTACAGGCGATTATTGCGGCAACTCCTTTTGTTTGTGCATATTAACTCTTGTTGTGCTTGTTTGTTAAAATCGGGTTTTTTATTCAAAAACAAACACCCAAAAATGATTTGTGTATACATGTCCCGAATATCGCAGTTTTAGGTGCGTTTGCGTCTGTTGCTGCACGTTTCCACTTTTCATGTCTTTTCCTTTTCCCGTCTATGCGCTCGCTTCCTATAGTTTCCACTCAGTCCAATCTTTACGTTCTGCACGATTCCATTTTAAATTTAAGCCCAAAAGAGTGTCAGAAATTATGGTCAAGGCTGAAGATTGCACTGGGCTGGTCTGACAGTGGCTAAGCTTGCTGTTCCCCGGCGTGCGTGCTGTGCACCAGTGCTTTGTAGCCATAAATCATCCTCGACTCTTCTTTCTTTCTCGTTAGACCTATGCCCCCATTCTTTGTAAGTTTTCTGGTTAATATTTTACTGAACGGATTCTAAATAAGGACTATCAGGATTATTTGATAACATTTTGATCGGTCAAGTGCATGCAGAAGAATTGTCAATAGTAATTTATCACAATCCAAGACGCAAACTGTATATAACGTGTGTACGCATAAAACCCCTTTGTACAAAGTCCCTCGACCTTTAATAAACTTGGGCAGTCAGAGGATATTTCAGTTGCCTGTGTTAATTAGTTTTGAACTTCATTCCAAAGTTGCTAGTGACTGGGAGTCGATACTGAATGCCAAAGTGTCCCCTGCATCACACTAGTAACTAAAACTCATTTCCCTTTTCAAAATTATCCGTCACCGTTACCGTCTTCATTTTGACATCGGATGCGTGTTTGTAGAAACAACGGAGACTGAGTTCCAGTTTTCCAAAGGCCGAAAAATGTAAGTGTGAATTCTCAATGCCTTAAACTACATATATTACTGATACAGACCACCGACAAGAGAAACTGTTAAATGTAATATGGGGACGTAACTAGGGTGGGGTGGGGGGGTGGGGGCTTTGGGATCCGTGCTTGTATACCTCTCCTCCAGGCCCAGAATATTAAGGATTGAAGCAAAATCTGGTGATGGGCCACCTTGGTTATTATTTTAACTGTGACCAAATCCACCGAGTGCCTCCCTCCACAGATTGAGGGCCGGCCAAGTGCCCTTTGTAAATTTGTTACGCCACTGATGTCATCTGAAAACACAATGATCCCATTATGGTGATTCATGTACCGAATAATAGACTGTGTATTGATCGTAGTGGACATCTACCTATTCTTCAGAGGCGTTTTGTCTAACGGAACTAAGAAATTATGATAAAATAGTAAATCTAAAGACAGCTAGAGCTTAATGGCGAGTTTAGTGGTTGCCACACTTATATTCGCAAAATGCCAAAAGCCAAGACCTGTCTTCTATGACACATTTCCTTCACGAATCATGATTCCAAACTACCATTTATATTCCCGAAATAGGGCGTGTCAGTGTATTACAGTCTCTTGCGTCGTATAAAAACCACTTGATTTTAGTGTCTGACGGAAAGGTACCATCAAAAATCTTTGATATTTAAATTTAGGTTTTAAGACCTTAAAACTCTCATCTCCCACCACTCCAACTGTTAACGTTGTCGCCTCCAGAAATTACACTAGCTCCTCGTCAACATTTAAGATTTCTTACCTAAAGTTTTCAAAAGGTCCTCATAAACCATTAGCCATTTTCTAGAAACGTTTGTACAGTGGCGGTTAAAATTTCAACTAATCTTCGGGAATCACTGCTAGAAATGCTTCCCAATACAAAACTAGGTGCAAATCTAAACTTATCTAGCATTAAAAAAAATCCTACTTCATCCTTGATGGCTCTATAAACAAGGATTGCCTTCAACAAGGATTATATCAATGGACATTAAGCTTAGATATCGACACAAACGTGCATTTGATATATCATCATTATCAATTCGTACAGGGTTCAAGGCAAGGTAGATTCACAACTTTATCTTCAGCTGAAACAGCTTTACTAATGGTCGACTTACGTTAACGGCATTTTATGTCGAATATCGAGCCAAAGGTTGCAAAGTTAATTTGTTCTCCGGAAATTCCGGCTTCACGTTCGCAGGTGTTGATGGTGCTGCCAAACAATCACTAATAGATTTGACCACGGAGAACTATTACTGCGAAATTTTGCCAGTAGACAATAATGCTTTGGTTGAAAATGATCATACATGTTGAACAACCCACAACGACTCTAATGGTTGAAGTTTACAACTGGAAGACTGCATATACAACACATCACTTTTGAGGTACAATCTACACAAGTCTTTGGAAACATGACAGATGCAACTACACCGGCACAGAATGTATGCACCATTTTCAGGTGAAAAACGGGAAACACATTTCCAGTTTAATGTACAAAACCTGAGAATTTACAACATGGAAGTTGTAGTGAGTTTAGTGCGCTGATTGATTGATTGCTATTTATATAAATACATTTGCAATAGAAATTGCTTCGGCTCCCGTGCATTAAAATACAATACGTACTAAAAGTTAAGAAATACATATTTATAACAATAAAATAATTAAGCAATAAAAAGAATTAATTTTAATAACACTCGAAACGAACAAATTGACAAATTACTTGGTTTCATTCGGTCCCCTGACTGCAGTTGGGTAAAAGCCTCTTCTGAACCGTTCTGTATCACACTCAATTACTCTGTACCGTTTCCCTGATCTTAACAACTCAAATAACTCATTAGCTGGGTGAAATTCATCAATAATAATACCGCTGGTCCTGTTCTCCACTCTAGATCTGTAAATGTCTAAAACTGGCGTGAGATCTCTACCAATAATACGTGCAGCTAACTTAACCACTTTCTCCAGTGCCTGCCGGTCAGCCATGGTGGTACTTCCATACCACACAGTGATGGATTGTGTTAATACACTTTCTACCACTGCTCGATAGAACTTGACCAGCAGATCACTGGATGAGTGGAAACTCTTCAGGCATCGGAGGTAGAAGAGCCGTTTCTGTGCTTTCTTGATGCAATGCATAACATAAGTACTCCAACTCAGATCATTTGTTAAATAAATACCCAGAAATTTAAAACAATCTCCAATTTCTACATCATTTTCGTTGATAGCAAAGGGAGCGATTGCAATTGGAGTTGTACAGAAATTGACAATGATCTCTTTTGTCTTCACTACATTGAGGTATAAATTATTATCAGAGCACCACTGAGTAAATTGCTGAATTTGATTGCGACAATTATACTCATCATTACTCATAATAAGCCCAACAATGGTTGTGTCATCAGCATATTTGACAATTTTACAGTCATCAAATGAAGAAACACAATCATAAGTGTACAATGAATATAGCAATAGTGATAGCACACACCCATGGGGAGCGCCGGTATTCGTAACAGCTGAGTTGGGATGAAAGAATTCACTCTAACAACTTGACTGTGATCAGTATCAGAAAATCGTAAATCCAGCTACAATGTGATGAGTTAATACCGAGTTCAGCGAGCTTATTGTATAATTTAGATGGTGGTATTGTATCAAATGCAGAACTGAAATCAATTATCAAAAGTCTGGCATATGTTAAATCTACTGTTTAAATGTTTGAACACATAATGAAGTACGAGTGATGCAGCATCATCGAAAGATCGGTTGGCACGGTATGCAAATTGTAAAGGATCCTGGGATTTTGAAATTGCAGACTTAATTTAAGATAATCCAAAACAATACGCCCTGGTGATTTCATGACTTGCGATGTGAGTGCCACTGGCTGATAATCGTTGAAGCTGTTTACAAGAGTTTTTTCGGTACTGGAACTATAATTGATTTTTTTAAAACCTGTGGAATTTTACACGATGTTAAAGACCAATTAAAAATTGATGTAAACATAAAATAAAGTTCACCAGAGCATGATTTCAGTAAACGATATCAAATTCCATCGGGACCTGAAGCTTTCCTTGCATTCAAGTGTCCACCTCTGCGATTACAAATGGGGGAGGACCAACATCTCTGAGAGGGTGTATGTCACCTTCCTGCTCGAACCGAATACAAAATCTGTTGAAATTTGTCTAAGTACTCAGGACATATTTCCAACCATTTGGAACAATTTTGGAAGCTCCCAAACGGTGCACGATTGTACAAAAGCCTCAAGAATTGGAGGACGTCACGAACGTTGGCCTGAATCCGCGTCTAGAGAGCGGCATACGACCGTGTCCCCCCTCCAAAACTAAATTTATTTCAATAAACTGTATGTCACGGCTTCCTCACCAGGTCATTTGAGCAATCTCAGAAAGGATCTCGTGTCAAATTTGGCGTGGTTCTCGTGGTCACGGTAACCATTTTGATAACCGCCTACTACCTCGGTTCGCCAACACCGGACGGCATCCGGAACCCGTGGAAGTACAGGTGTTTTCTGGCCAGCAAGCGATTGGTGTCTGATATGGTAAAGTTATTATGTAATTTGGATTTGAATTCATATGTGTTGAGAAAAAAACCGTGATGGAAGCACAGATGTGGAACCATAAGCCTGTAAAGGGGAAACCAATTACATTTACTTACCTTTGGAAATCTTTAATAAGTAGAAATCATTCAAAAGCCAAAGCAGTTATTGTCAATGTGTAACATATGTAGTTAATATCTTGACAAGTTGACCTCAACAGTCACAACAGTATTGTGACGCTACAAAATTAGCTCACATTGCGATGGTTTGGAAGACGATAGAATGAACACAAGAGGTGTGTGGGGAAAATGCCGTGTCTTGTACACATTAAGACTGAGAAAAAGACGCATTGCGTCTTTTGCACTTGACAGCGTGCCAAGTTTTTCTGCGGTTTGCTCAATTACAAAGAGCGAAAGACGCATTGCATCTTGAGGAAATGGCATATGCAGTTGCTTATTTCTTGCACCTCTCAGTATGGAATGTGCAGGTTCATTCAGTGTCTTGGCACATACAAAATGCGAAAAAGGTGTTAACCCCTGTAGCGTTTTAAGTAAAGGTCAATGATAACTTATGAGAATTTCCTTAGTCATCACATGTACCTGTTGAAAGTCAACAATCTTTCGACGATCACCAATATGTACCAATAAACTGTTAACCACTTTGTTCTTTCACTTTTGTATGGCTTTCTACCAGTCTAAGGCACTGTCCCTATTAGCGTCTACCTCATACGTCGACAGTTTTCGTTTTTTTGTCGACATCCTCGTTCGACCTACGCCTTTGGAAGTTCCAGGATCAAACATCCGGGCTTCTGTCACAACCTTCGGTGGGGTCAGAGTTCGCCTTTACCAGCCTATCAGAAGGGAGCCCGGTAATGGACCAGCGCTGGTTTATGCTCACGGAGGGGCTTTTGCTGTCGGGAGTGCAGGTAAGAAGCTAAAAACAGATAAGACAACAAAACAAAATAAAAGCAAATCATAAGACCATGAAACAGCCCACACTGAGCTGTCTTCACTAAAACTACTGGAAATGATTCATATTTGTGGAGTTGTTTTTATAGCTTCTATACATAAGCTTAATTTCAAATTCGGGTAATTTCTATTTCAAGACAATTGTATTGGTGAATATTTCCACCGTGATAATTTCTCAAATTGTTCCCAGATTCTCAGAATCTTCTTAGACAAAACAAGACATGCTGCCCCTACTGAAACTAAGTCTCTTCCCTTTCTAATTGTTTATTTTCACAGCTTCTTTTGACCTTATAACCAGACGCATGGCAGAGACGTTAAACTGTACTGTCGTATCAGTAGAGTAAGTGATTAATGTTTGATTGCTTTTCAAATCTGAAACAATAAGTCAGGAGATAAAATCTTGCAGCTCATACGAACCTTGACATTGCCTTAAAGCTTCTTAAGTGCGTCCATTTTCGTATTGTAAATTTGCGATTCCTTTCGTAGTTATCGTCTTGCCCCAGAGCATCCCTTCCCAGCTGCTTTTGAGGACACCCTAAATGCCTCCAAATGGTTCATGGACCACGCTCATGAGTTTGGGGTGGACCATTCGCGAATCGGCATCGCGGGGGATAGCGCTGGCGGTACACTAGCAGTTGCAGTTTCGCAGGAGTTGCACGACGACCAGGCCTACCCAGATTTTGCTTTCCAGGCACCCATTTACCCTCTCACCCAGCTCATTGACAGCCACACTCCGGGAACTCTCCTATCCAAGTTCCATTTTGGTATGGACGGCTCCATAGTCACCTGGGATGAAGCTAGCATGTTCTTCAGCTTCTACTTGATAGGTGGCGAGCATGAGAGACTGCAAAATGCCATTCTCCGCAATGTACACATTCCCTTAGAATTCAGGCTCAGCAACGCACCACAACTGCAATACGTGAATCACTCCCTTCTTCCTCTCCGCTTGCGCAGTTATGACTTCCTCCCTCTCCTAAACCCTGCCAGTCACGAACATTATGTCGAGGCAGAGGGTTTGTGGGATGAAATCAAAGACAAAGTCCTAGACCCCCGACTTAGCCCTCTGATGAGGCAAAATATGAGCAAGTTGCCGCCCACCTTCGTAGCCACCTGTGAGTATGATGCCGTGAGGGACCACGGCGTATTCTACGCCATTAGAGTCAGGGAAGCTGGGGTACCGGTCCGATGGGTGCATTATGATGGTGGATTCCACGGAGTTTTTGGTCCTTCTTGGCCCTTTGAATTCGACGTTGGCGAACAAATGTTCCAAGATTTCGTAGATTTCGCTAAAGAACATCTCAAAATATTTAAACTCGAACGCTCTTGAAGAAATGGAAAAAAGGTACCAAACGTTTGAGAAGAAAAAGTGTGGCTAGTGCCAAAAAGAAAATATTACCTATCAATAATCAATGTACAATGTAATTGGATTTTCCTCGAAGTTGTAAAGAGGTGCAGATGATACTCATATGCATTTTCATATTTGGTCAGTTGTTTTCACTTCTTCATCATAAACTGCATTGTTATACATGTATACGTATAATGGCAGTCCCTCCTGAATTATTGTAATAATCCGACCGTTTATAATCATATCGATAAGTTGGTCTGGACTTGTATTTTAGAAACTTTTAAAGGGATCACCACAAGTTCAATTCAAGATGGCCTACTGTGGATAAGGCCAATGATAAGAAGTCATGTGACAGAGCTCCTTTCAGTGACGTCGTGCAATCGGGTTTGGCTAATTCTATCACTTCGCCCGGGCTATATGGTTACGTCCAGCAATAGCATAAGCGCCGATAGGCGGTCGCCTAAAGGCGACTTTCCAAATGTATGTTTTTTGGCGCGTTGCATATACGATGCGTTCATGCGTTCTGACACAAAAGTCGACCTATTAACATAACACATGTGTGCGTCGCGTTCGGCCGTCAAACTTGCTCATAGAGCGATTTTAACAAATACGCAACGCGTGGAGCAAGTGTTGCTGCGCATATGGAAAGGCGCCTTTAGCTGCACGTGTTGGCGGCTTTCTCAGGCATGCTTAGGCCTATTAATAGTGGTTGTGTAATTCGTTCACGGCGTATGCTGAGGACACTGCGGCAAAGTTCAACAGATTACGCGTCTGCGGTTGGTTGACGTTACAATTGGTTGACTTTGTCCTTTGATATGATAGGAATAATTAAGTAAATATTGCAAACTCTAAGTTCAAGTTGAGTGCATGGTGTGTCATTGTGACTCAGCAAGTGATAAAGCTCATGTGGAGGAAAGTCCAACGAGATTCACACGAACAACTTTAAAGGCATTTCTACCAAGGGAATACCTCAGCTATGTTTAACACTGAAAATATTCTTATAAACAATTGCAAAACTTATTTCGATCTGACATTACGCAAGACTGCACTTTTCATCGCATTTGTTTGTCAATGATCGTGGATCATCAAGATGGCAGGACGGAATAAAGTGTTGCTGGCCGTGATTGCTGCTATCGTACTCTGTCTGACGCTTGAACCCATACCGCCGGAGCTAGACAGCCCTTGGCAGTTGAAGATGGCCTCCAGAGTAGTTGATTATGTGAGTTTTGTTCATGCTAGCGGGCACAAAGCTATACTTAAAATCAGATAACTTTTGCCATGGAATAGGCCTTTATTTTGGAAGGAATGTATTTGACAAAAATCCCGAAAGTGTAACCTGCACCATATCTGCTTAAGATCGGGCAGCTGACATTGCCTCCTCTCCCTCAAGAGTTACTTTTTAGACAAAGCCAGTTTAAAGCAGTAAGCACTAGACTTGTTTTGAGAATAGAAAACTTCCTTCAAGCAAAAATAAGTTAGCAGTCAAACCTTTCAAATAGAATCTAATTACCATAATTGGAGATACATGTATAGTTTTTTCTAGCCATTAATATGAACCTGAAAGCATGTCGGATGGGTTTTCAATAAGGTCACGTGCGTGTTTCCAGGGACTCTTCTACAGTGAAGTCGTGCACAACCTCGTTCCTGCCCTGCCAGCCCGTCTAGCGTTGTGGATAGAAAAATGCATCTACTCTGTGATCCCTCTCGTGGCCGTGAATGTAACGACTACGGACGCCGTGTTCGATGGAGTACGAGTGCGCATCTTCGACTATGACTTCAAAGGCGCCACCAGAACATCTGGGGAGCCGACGCTTCGCCCAGCGATTGTCTTCTTCCATGGGAGTGGCTTCATGATGATCAATTTGGGTAACTTTGGTGATTTAAATGGAAGTGGGCACATATTGCAGGTTGCATTTCAGCATAATGCAGCATCATGAAAATATTACATTTGAGCTGAACACAAGAAGTCATGTTTTTCAAGTCAAGTTTCATCCATAAGAAAAAGTTTGTTATACACTTTGACCTCTATTAAGTGTCCAAGGACTTTACCTTGGGCAAAGTAATGTTGGTCTTGTTTTCCTATATTTGATAATGGTTACACCAGGGGTAAAACTTGTGAAATGCAGCAAACTTTCAGGAGGCAACAACACGTGACTTCATATTGCTACTTTGTTTTGATACTTTCTTACTCTAATACTTGCATAGTTCTGAATGCTTCAAAGAATATTAATCTCTTGATTAAATTCAACTAAAATTAGAAGACGAATCTTTTCCCTTCGTTTGTAGGTGTGAAACAAAAATTGATAGCTTCCTCTATTATGCTCTGTCAGATTCCTACCACAGTCAGACTGCGCATATAGCAAAAAAATTCCACGTGATGCTGATATCTGTTGAGTAAGTGTTAAAGGAGATTTTTAAAAAGAGAAACAAATCAGATTCTAAACTTACTTTTGATTTCCCACCACGTCCATCTCCTTTAATTTACATATCGGAGGCATTGATCTATTTGCAATAGCTAAAACAAATTACAGAAGGTTAATTCATTTTATCATTTGTACCGAACAGATATCGTCTGGCACCCAAACACCGCTTCCCTGCCGCCATCGATGACTGCACAGTGGCTACCATATGGTTCATGCAGCGCGCCCTTGCCTTCAACGTTGATCCCACCAGAGTTGCAGTCATGGGCGATAGCGCCGGGGGCAACCTGGCGGCCGCCGTGGCGCAGCGATTGACCTTTGACCAAAAGTACGAGAGCCTACCAAGGTTGAAGCTCCAGATTCTCATCTACCCGATGCTTCAGGCGTTCGACTTCCAGACTCCGTCCTACCAGCAGAACGGAGATTACACCAGCGTAATCATGAACAGGCGATACACGGTCATGGCGGCCGACAACTATATGAACGGTAACTCCAGCCTGGACTTCAAAATGAGGACAAACCTACACACCTCGCGAAGCGCCAAAGCCTCTCCTTTGGTGAGGAAATGCTTGTCGCACGATCTCATCCCGGACGAGTTCAAACAGACGAGCTACGAGTCACCCTCAACCGACTTCGGGGATGAAGGCATCTACAGGGAGATCAAAGACGTTCTCTTGGATCCAGACTACGCTCCTCTCATGCGAGAAGACCTAACAGGACTCCCAGAGGCGTACATCCTGACTGCCGAGTATGACGTCTTGAGGGATGACGGCATCATGTATGCAAAACGACTGGAGAAGGCTGGAGTGCCGGTCACTTGGAAGCACTACCGGCGAGGCTTTCATGGGATGTTTGGCGCATTATTTGGCTCTCCGACTGAAAAACTCGGACAGTTGGATTTCGCTGCATTTTTAAAAAGGCGTCTTTGAACAACTAAAGTAGTCACAGTGCTTTCTGTCTGTATATTTAATTTTCTTGTTTCAAAATTGAAAAGTAGCTCCTGAACCATTAAATGTTTGGAGGGAGAAACGAGTTTCCTTTTATGTCAACAACTTAACTAAATGTACTGTCCCACAGTTTAATATATTGTGTTGATGACATTTTAAACAGTATAAACATAGTTTCCAAGTCCAATCTTCGTAAGCATTCGCCTGAAAGGTGTTTTCTTCGAACACTGCAGACTGTGAAAACGGCCGGTTGACGGAAGTTGAAGCAGGCTTGAAGTGGGAGTTTTCGATATCTGCAGCAAAGATTTATCAAAAGACATCCTAGATGTTATTACGAATTCGAGGCTGAGTCCCGTGGTTAGCAAAATGTCACGAACCAATTTACCCTGAGACAATTTCGTAAATTCACGAACTCTATTAAACGAACTCTGGTTTGTTGCATCACAGAGGAACACAGCTAGCTCTATGGTTGTATCCACTAACGCATTGTTAAGGCTGGTTCATGCTTGAGGTGAAAGCGACATTGGAGCAGATTCGACGGCGCAAAACACTTGAAGCGAAAATTTCTTTAGTTGAAATGTGTTTAGCTTTGCGAATTCAAAGCACCTATATTTGATGCGACCTTATAATTTTGCGTTAGCGTTCAGTTTTGCGCCACGCGGACTTCAAATTTTTCCTTCTTTGCTCTCGATACATGGCCGATTAATTATTGTAAAAGTCCGCCCCCGGCCAATCGCTCAGGCGTGGCGGTCCGTCCTCCATCGAAGGAGGAATTGGAGGCCGAATCGGGGGCAGGAAAAAGGAACGGAGAGAGACAGGCGGACGACAGGAATTACTGGAGCTTCACACTTGTATGGGGATTAGCCCATTGCTTCAAACAATACTCTCCAACCAAAAAATACAGTCATACACCGAGACTAAATGCCACACTGAAAACACGAGTTGGTCATCTTGCACCGAAAATTCGTCAATTTGAGAAATAACATTAGCCTTTTTAAGAACTAATTTTTACATTTAAAAACTGATCAGATGTCTTTTGACAAATCGATGTTTTTGAAATACTAATCTATTTTTTTAGATTCAAATTTTGTTCAAACAAATGTTGCTGTGAGACCAATTAGTTTTGATCAGATTTACTTATCAGCTTTGTCACTAAATGTTTGAACGACGAATTAAAATGTGAGTGACAAATTAGGTGACCGGTAATTAAATGCTAGAATATTAATTCCATGTGATTATCAAAAGCCGTTTCCAGCCGAACGAGTCTATGTCCCTCCTTCTGATATTAATGAAATGGTCTGATTGAGGTAGGTCTAAAAATACATTTTAACCGTTTATCTTTTCTAACTTCAGCATTATTTGGTCTTAATTGAACATACTTTATGATTAAACTCGGTGTCGAGATGTCGAAAAATGCATGCATTTGATGACGCACGTCAGTTCAATGCTGTCCGAGTTCCATGTACGGACTAGCCTAACGTGCCGTGATCGTTTAGGTAGCGTACAGGGCTCGGTTGGGTGGTCTGCTCCGTATCAATTGCCGGTCACAGACTCGACTATGCTGTTGCACTCGTAAACATTTATTTTATGCATATGGATGAAAATTGGATGCTTCAACGAATGGATATACCTATGCAGGCCGAGCAGACATCCAAGACCGAGTTCCGGATAAAGTTTAAGCATAAAAATGCTGCCTCATAGCCTCCACCTTGTCTATGACGCCATTCGTAGCGGTCCGGGGCGTCTCCCGGCCGGTCGCTCAGGGAGGGCGGTCCGTCCGTCACTGGAGGAATTGGAAGCCGAATCGGGGGCAGGGAAAAAATTGCTGGTGCTTCACATTTCTGTAGGATTGGCTCGATGAATATTTATTCCGGGGTAAAATTGGCTTTGTTAAGAAACCCCAAGCGTAGCCATACTGCTCGCTTTCCCAGTCGAAACCAAAAGCTCCCAAGCCAAGTCAAAAGCAAACTGAGGACTGTGGGAAACTTCTAGCAATCATTCTAGTGGCGCCAAAAAGGCAAAACAAGTCGCGCCAAAAAGTAGGCCACTTGCGGCTAAATACAAGCAAGGGCCTGCCCAAAACCACGCCTTGCATCCATGCAGAGTTCAAAGCTCAAAATATTGACTTAATGATAATAGGGAATTCCCCAGCCCACTACACTACTATAATAGAAAGTGGTCTTTATTATACATGTACTGTACCTTTAGTGTTTTACATGCACGGATGAACGTTTTCCGTATTTCCTAATTTCGAAGAAGTTCATCATGCTTTCACTGATAAAATTCGTCCACTTGGCGCCTGGGAGCACCTCCATACCCTTGAACTTCGACCAACACTGATTGTCACAACTGAAGTTTGGCCATCAAGTACAGAATATGCTTAGTAAAACAAAACAACATGAACTTGCGAACTTTCCTCTTCTGTTGCGCGCATGTAGAAGTATTTACAAAATTTACACACTTTCGTGTACGCAAAACCTGTAAGTTATAATAGGCCGTAAGGTTGAACAGAGTTAGCAGTGGTTATGGTACTCCCATTCCACCAAAACCAAAATTTCAAGCTGGAAATACTTACAGGTGACAAGGAGCCTCTCTTTCCCTTTAAAGTTTGACAATTTGCCAAACATTTATTGAGAAATTTTAATAGCTATTGCAGTTCATTTCAAAGTTTAACTGTTTCACACAGGAGAGAACGTCACAGGTATTCTTTGAAGAATTCAAAGAGGTCTGCCGACGCCAGATTCCCTGACGGTGACGCAAATGGTCCGTTCTTGGAGCCAAACATCGCATGGAATCCCTTCTTGTAGTGCTTCCAAGTAACCAGCACTCCCGCTTTCTCCAGTCGCTTGGCGTACATGATGCCGTCATCCCTCAAGACGTCATACTCGGCAGTCAGGATGTACGCCTCTGGGAGTCCTCTCAGGTCTTCACGCATGAGAGGAGCGTAGTCTGGATCCAAGAGAACTCTTTTGATCTCCTCGTAGATGCCTTCATTTCCAAAGTTGGTCGAAGGCTCTTTATAGCCTGTCTGCTTAAATTCCTCCGGGATCAAATCGTGGGACAGGCATTTTTTTACCAAGGAAGAACCTTTGGCTTTTACCGAAGTGTGTTGGTTTACTGACATTGAAGTCGTCAAGGACGGCCTGTTGTCCAGATACACGGCCCAGAAACCTGCCATCATCGCTCTGTCAAGCATAAGGGTGACGTAGTCTCCGTTCTGCTGGTAAGAAGGTGTCTGGAAGTCGAAGGCTTGAAGACAAGGATAGATTAAAACCTGCATCCTAAGCTTTGGTAGGTCCTTGTACTGTGGCATAAAGGTCAACCTCTGAGCGACGGCAGCAGCTAGATTTCCGCCTGCACTGTCTCCCATAATGGCCACTCTGGTTGGGTCAACGTTGAAGTCTTCAAGATGCTGCAGGAACCCGACAGTTGCTGCTGTGCAGTCATCTATGGCCGCAGGGAATATGTGATCAGGGGTCAACCGGTACCTGCAGTTTTGAGTATGATGAGTGTGAAACTGTATAGTGAGATTGAGGCAGCAAAATTAGTTCTAAATACAAATCTAAGCTATGTTGAAACTTTGTACACGTGTAGTCATACCGGTGCACTGATTACTCACTGATTTTACTCACTAATTTTTGAAAATCCGCTCTTAATTGTCATCCTCTTAATAGACTTTGACATCTCTCAGGGACGTTCAACGCAAGCTATCCAACACGCCCATTAGGAATTTCAACAATAAACGGTTCAGCACTGATGTCGCACCAGCTCAAATAATTCCAATACATTCGGTGCACGTGATTCAGAGAACGACCTCCCAAATGATAAGTGATTAAGGGCCTTTTTTTTAATTCCAAACAGGCCCAGACCTGATTCAGTATTCTGGCGTTGGTCCACTGACACCACAACTCGCCTAATGGGAGGAGGGCACCAGCATGGGGACCACTGATTGTGATCTGGATTTGTGTGAAACAAAAAGGCCCTTCGGGGTTCTTTATTTTGTGCCTGCACTGTTGGATTACGACCAAGCTCAATGAGCATGTCTTTGCCATTTTTCCTCGTATTAATTTTAGCCACTGGCCAGACTTGTAACTGGTACAGTTACAGACGCACGATTTGATTTATAACTTGAAACTAATGTTGATTTTATTATGGAGGAATGACAACTCTGACATGTCTTTGACTGTTGACTCTAGGCTTTGGCAGAGTGATTATGTTTACTTCAAGTCAGTGGTGTAAATCCATTTTGCACCTGTAAGTGGGGGAGCGAGGGACGACCCAAATCCTAAAATGATGAGGCCAATTTATTTCAAGTGAGTCCTTAGTGGATCCATTTACCTCAGGTGATTCATCTGTCATTGCACTGAGGTAATACAAAGTGATAAAATAATGAGAATCTAACATGGGTACTCACTCCACAGAAATGACTACCGACCCCGTTTCCTCCGCTATTTCCGCCGTCAGACGATGGTAAAACTCTGTACGTAAGATATACCATCAGTAACATTATTGCACATGTGAACAAAGCAGAAGCAATGTAAACACGCAGCAATTATGGTCACTTATGGTCAACCATCTGCACACTTTCACCTGCTTCACCTGACTCGGACCAGCCAACCGACCCCGGTAAGCTCGGTGGTCAAGTGGTTAAGACGTCTGCACTAGTAAGCAGGAGGTCGTGGGTTCGAGTCCCACCCGAGTAAGCTTGTGAATTTTTTCACAAGCTCTCGGGCAAGCACTGAGCATAGAGTGTTTATCAATACATACGTTGGGTAAGGGCAAAACCCATTATATAAATTACCATATACATATATTTGTCCACGTAAACAAATGACGTAGCCAATCTTGTGTCCAGACTACGTTGGGTCTTAATCATTAGTAGTGCAAGCATAAAATGTACACTGATCTGAAAAATGCGTTCTGAAGTTGCTATACACGTATGTATTAATTATCCCCCTCCCCCGCTCCCACACTGTAATATGTTATTCGCTGCCACGGGTCCACTTACTTATGTTACCGCGAGTCCATCCCCCACCGTGATAGTAGACGATCGCCGGACGTTTGGCTGCATTCTCCCCATCTGGTTTGTCGGCAAACACCCTCACAAGGACCCCACCGTATGTCGTGTCCGTGAAGGTAATGTTTGGGCCACCTGACACCCTGGCCTCTTCTACTTTGGCAGCAAACCACGCACTTAGTCTCTTCGGCATGAGCGACGCCAAGCGAGTGCTCTGAGACATGATAAGAATGTTTTTTAAAGTGATGTGCTGAAATGATTTTTCTATACTATACAAGTGCATGAGATGATGTTCTACAGGCTTGAGTCCAGTCCGGCCACGTCCGATATTTTCGTTATCTTATTCGCCGAAGTGAGAGAGCGTCGATAGCTTCTGTACAATAAATGGTTAGTATTGCTGCAAAATCAGAAGAAAAACAATTAGCCATGGCAGTCGTCGCGGCTGCTGGTTAATCATCAAATAAACATACATGTATTCTTTTTATCAAGTGCTATGTGTTCTCCACGGTATGCTTCACGGTGAACTTGAACTGCACGTACATTGGATGAGGGCAGCGCTTGCCGTAGGACTAGTGTTCGGGTAACGTTTGGGTTACCCGTAACGGTTAAAAAGTGCCACTAATCTGACAATATTGTGAACAACTGGGACATAGCAGGGTATGTGGGCAGCTTTGTGGATACCACATCTGATAAAAAGCCAGCAGAATTTCCGTTTTTGTCCATTTACTACGGTCAACTTTTAAGATAAACACATGAATTGCAAGAACGGAATAAAGGATCACATTTCATTGGATTCCCCAGTAATTCTTTTAACTGGTAATCACATTACATATAGTCTGTATGTCATCCCTTTGAGGTTATTTCGGGGTATAAATTACTTACTATTCGAATACAGCGGGTTACAAACTTCATCTTCCACGGTATCTCGATGCCATCAGGGATGGGTTCGAGGTACACGTAGATTGCTAGCCCGACCAAACATAAAAGAACTGCTGTAGGTATCACACCCATGATGTGCTACAAGATATCCGTGTAAGAGAACCGAGCCTTGAAGCCAAATTAGCTGAAAATTAAGGACAGGAGAACAAAACGAACTATTTACGTTACAGTTATTGACTTCACTGTGGCTTAATGTGCTCTCGCCTATGCAGATAAATGTCTTCAGTTGGACAATGCCTGAAGATACTTGACGAAAGTTATGTGTCCGACGCCTCATGCCAGACCTTTGAGTCTAAAATAATTAACTGATGAACCGATCTGATGACGTATCTGTTGTGTCTCTCACTGGAATGCAAATGTGCAGATGCAAATCGTGCCTAACTTGACGTTGTGTTTTACAGCGTTGGGGTTGTCGTCGCTCGTGCAAGCTGTTGAAGCCGAATCAGGACACATTTGCGCTGGATATACCTTTTTTCTTAGGAAGATTAGGGGTAACTATGAAAAATGTGTGTTATCTTAACCGTTGCGCATGCGTTTTTCATCTAGGAAGCTTGGGGTCAATTCTCATAAATGGGGAACACGAACCTTTAAGTTTAAGATAAAACAAAATTGTCTTTCTGGCCGACTTTCGTGGTACGTATAGCTATGTTAGAAGAGCGTTATACTTTGAACCAACAAGCTGAGGATTCGTGTCTACATAGTCTGGTAATTTTTTTTCTTGGTGGGGAGTTGGTTGAAGGATGTATTAATAATCGGAAAGTAAAGCCCCACATTTACCTTAGCACTTCAAGGATCCAGGAAATGAATTTTTTTAGAATCACTTTTTGTGTATCTGTGTACTCTTCTTCCATGTATGAAGACTAACATCTTTTTTGAGTTATGTGAACTCAACGGTACACTTTTGCAAACATTAAAAATTGACCAAGCATTTCTGGACAAGTGAGAGCGCTTTTGCTTTGATGTAAATCCAGGAAGACATGGTTCAGGTTGCATGTTTTCATGTTCAAATTATGAACCTCAAATTTGCTATCTGGGAACATTTCTGTGAAAAGGGTTTTTGCTGGATTATTGCCATATACTTCAAGTATACGGCAATAAGTAACTTACAGAGCAATAAATTGCCAAAGACAATAAAATCTGCCAAAGCAGTGGTTAAATGAATCTAGAAATTTTCTGGGCAGAAATCAGTGCAACATTGAGATTCAGTGCCTTGGATGACATCATAGCATCAAGATATGGGTTAAAAATTGAAAAACAAAAATTTCAAATTAGGTTAACTTACACCCAAAGGTGCAATTTCAAGGGCTTTAGTAAAATTTATAAAAACATTTCTATTTCCTGGTTCCTTTAAGTTTCTAAGTGTCCACTAACCTCATCAAGCTTTTTACCACGTCCGTACACGATAATTACCCCAAACCTTCCTAGAAAAAAATCAAAGATGTTTGCCGGCTGAAATTAAATCATTTTATTAAACACACACACAAAACTATCTGCGTACTTGTACCACTGTACTATTTTAAGGGCAAGTGGTGTACAATTTGAATTAATAGGTCACATAGATCACGATATTGTGAACATTTATGATGGTCTCAGAGTGTGGGGTAGCTTATGGCTAATGCACCATAACTCTACCCAGGGGGTTTGACTAAGTTAACTTACTTGGTCATCACATTCAGGTCTTCCCTGGCCCTTGCCATGCCCAGGCAAACCTTGCACAGCCCTCCACACAGATCCTACCCTTAGGACAGCACCCAGCAGACTGAAGTACACAGAGTTATTTTTAATGTCAGAATACAGGTCTAATAATAGTAATTTACGTACGCTAACAATGCATGTACGGCATGCTGACTGGACTGACACACACAGCCCTGGGGGTGTGATGGAGGGGAGGGGCTGACTAAACTAAAAATACAAGGGGGAGAGCAAAATACTTATTCATGGGGGCTTTTTCGTTATTATATTTAATGAGCTCTTTTTTAATGAGTAAAAACAGTTTTAACATGGCACGTGAATTTATTTCATTTGACTAGTTAACAGTTAATAAAGTCAAACACAGTCACAATCCCTACAAGAAAGGAAACAGAATCACATTCGAAAACACGTCACAATACAAGGGAAAGGATGCAAGATGTCACAGATTTTAATCAGTTCCACACTCCTTCACTGAAGTAAAACTATAACTTCTTGCTGGCAGCTAAATGGACGCTGCATCACTCTGTGACATCCGAGTGCTTTGTGACCTTTTGCAGTGAGAGTACAAAGACAACACGACAAGTCAGCAATGTTTTCACCTTGCTGTGACCTTGGGTTGCAAAAGCTCCCAGATGAACAGCCAACATGTAGATTGGGTTAGTAATCTACACAGTAAGGGCACAAGAAGTGGGAACTTACCATTTCGGTGTATCTATGCATGTACAAGTACGTATGTTGTATATACAGGGATGCCTAAACTGGGCCCAATAAGAACAATATTCATGGGAGAGAGCAGCATATCACGTTTTGCGACAGTTATACATGTTATAAGGACAAAGAAAAATGTATCTCTTAAAACTAAATTATTAAAAAACTGTCCCTAATACAGTACTTGATTTACGTGAAGTACTGCCCAAAATATAACCAAGGATGTTCCTGCAATTTGGCCATTTCAACATAAATGATAATGAGATACTCACAAGAAAGCAAATAAACCACGAATTGCACTACATGAAGCCAACAATTCTTCCTCAGAGAGGTACTACTACTGACTGGTGGCACCCTGTTTGTAAATAAATAGTAGGTCTGGTATCCTACCGGAAGCATAACAGCGAAGCATTGTGTGCGTGGGTTTTAGACTGTGATTACTCATGCATTACCCTGACTAATGAGGGCGCTGTATTAATCGATGGTCTTTGACAACGTAGATGGCTTACCCTTGTAAGTAAATTCCCATAGACACCAATGATAAATCCTTTTATTTCAAAATTATTGTTACTCACAACTCTCACAGGTGTCCAAGCTCAACAGCAAAATGATGTTCGACATGCTCTCTTTTATTTTCTTATCAATTTTTAGAGGGTTGACCAATGAAGTTTTGAGAAATTCTCACCCAAAGCAGACCACCAAAATGAAGGAAATGCCACTGCCCGGAAAAGTAGCCATTTTGAAAATGCATCCCTCTGTAAAACGGCTAAATAATACCACTTTGAGACCTGATTGCATCCCAATTGCTCAGAATTGGACGCCCTGAGACCGGGTCAGGTTTCAGTGCCATATTTCTTCAATCCCCCAATTCCATGGCTCTCAGGACTCTCTAATACAGAATATTTTTAGTGTATGACTTTTATTAATGAGCTCGGTGAACATATTTCTGGCCTACTTACTTATCACATGGGAAAAAAGAGGGTGGAATTGAGAATGAATAAGTTTAAGGAAGGAGACCGTGCTTGGGCGAAGGAGGATGAAAACAGGTGAAAGCCGAAATGAGATAAGAGAAGGTCAAAACCTCCGAAGTGAAAAGTGTAGAGAGCCTGCAGCTATTGGACATGAAAAGATCACAATAGAGTAAAAGATTATCGTCTCCATCCAAAGAAAACTTCTATAACAAGGCAGTTTTTGAAAAAGATAAACAATTAATTTAAAAACATTAACATGCCGTACATTTGAACAATGCTATTGCTATACCAAAAAGATATTTCCGCTGAACGCACTTTTTTTCCTATTTTCTGTGGGTTTTATTCAGCAGCAAAAGTTCCAAATATTTCAAACAAAGGCAAGAATCGCGGAGAATGAAGTTGATTAGAGAAAAAGTATAAGAGTGAGATATCCTTAGTACAGTAAAATCAGCACTACTGTTTGAAAAAAGAAACGAGCCATGAAAACGAAAACAGTGAGCAAATCAATATTGTGCACAATATCAATATTCAAAATAATTTCAGTTGTATAAAGTGAAATGTAACAGTTTGGGTAATATCTGTTGATCTCTTTAAAAAATATTAAAACAGTAAAGCATATTTCAAATCGGCTTGGAATCTATATCACTGAAATATAAAAATGGCAAACCCTCGGAGATTTTGTTAATGATACTATGAAACATTTTTCTCCAGATAAATTGACTCTGCACGATTTTGATATGAGCAATAGAGAAAGGGAAACAGCTCATTTTCTTTGGAGTTCTATCACAAACAGGGCAACTCTCAGTCAACACGAAAAATTGCAGTGGGCCAACCGACACACGTGGCGACCACTTTTCAATGTACACGTGTAACTACATCATCCCAAGTTACAAATCACCAGGTAAACTACACGCTATCCAGGCTCCCTTCAAGCCCCATTCTGTAGAATAACGCCCATCACTTGCATACCACCGACCAAGTCACTAATAAATTCTAATTTTTGTGCACGCGCGTGCTTATAAATGGCAAGTGGGGGCAATTTGATTGAGCAGCCCATTGAAAATATACAGGGGTACAAATTTCAACGTCATTTTCTGCTTTCATCTTTCTGATTTCATCAGCTTCTGCACTTTTTTCACCGTTGTCTCTGGAAAAAAATCTGAAATCATTAAAGATATTACTTTCTGAGGTGAGAGGATTATTTAAAGAACAAAATAAAAACTTGAAGTAGTTCGTTCGTTCGTTCGAAGAGCATGAGGTAGAAAGAAATCGGTAGGGTTTTGTTCTGTGTGAGCTGTAAAACAAATTGTGAGATACGTTTGGGTACCATCCATCATTCACGGTCGACAACGTTGCCTAAGTAGCGAAAATCCTGTGATTCGCCTGCGTTCATCCCACGATTCAGCATAGTACGGGTGATGAACAGGACCCTTCAGTACGAAAGTATTTAATCAGACATGGCCGGCTAGGAGCCCTGTTAATATCAGTTGACCTCGTGCGCTCGGGGAGAAAGCAAAGACTTTTTCCTTTTGATGCATTATGAGATCCTTTTAGTAATACATGTACATGCATCTATAATAACTTGAAATGTTTTCCTGAGACAAAAGTGAAAGAAAGTGCAGAAGCTGAGAGAAAATGACGTTGAAATTTCTGCCCCTGGTACATTTTCAATGTGCCGCTCAAGCCTTTTGCTTCCACTTGCCCTTTATGCGCATACACACCTAAATTAGAACTTATTAGTGAACTGCATGCTCTATTAACAAATCTTTTGGATCCCTTTTGTTTCGTGTAAAGAAAAAGTTGCACATTAAAGGCACGCTACGGCCCCGGCTCTCCACGGTAACACGCTGAGGGTAAATGTCAAAAGCTTTAGCCATAAAATAGCCGGTTCCGACATGACAAAGAAAGAAGACAACGCAGTAAACGGTTATTAGTACGTTTTCAGTGCATTTCGATAAACCCTTTTGTCAACCATCTGTGACTTTTTATTCTCCATTTGTGACCTAGCTGGCTCAATTACTCTCGTCACTAACGTATAGTTTTATACTTATATTTCAACAACGTTCCTGCTTAGGTATAAGCGAATATAGACAAAGCAGTTTAATCGAAATTTTGCATACATCTTTCAGCCTACAGATTTGTTTGAATATCGCTCTTATTTCATTACCATGGGACTTATTTGCTCTAGCCCAAAATACCTCCATTTGATTTACGTGACCCGAAGGTTCACAGATATTTTTTGGTGAATTCATAGAAATCTGCCGTAGCACACCCCCCTGATGGCGACGCAAATGGCCCGTCCTTTTGGCAAAACATCCCGTGGAATCCCTTCTTGTAGTGCTTCCAAGTGACCGGTACTCCAGCCTTCTCCAGTCGCTTTGCGTAAATGATGCCGTCATCCCTCAAGACGTCATACTCTGCCGTCAGGATGTACGCCTCTGGGAGTCCTTTCAGGTCTTCTCGCATGAGAGGAGCGAAATCTGGATTCAGGAGAACTCCTTTGATCTCGTCGTAGATGCCTTTGTCTCCAAAGTCGGTCCAAGGTGTATCATAACCTGTCTGCTTGAACTCATCTGGAATGAGATCGTGCGACAGGCATTTTTTGACTAAGGAGGACCCCTTCATCTTCGCCGAAGTGTGTCGGTTTGCAGACATCGGAATCTTCAAGGAAGGTCTGTTGTTGAGATACACCGCCCAGAAATCTGCCATCATGATTTTATCAAGCATAACGGTGAAGTAGTCTCCGTTTTGCTGGTAGGAAGGTGTCTGGAAGTCAAAGGCTTGGAGACAAGGATAAATCAGAACCTGCATCCTCAGCTTCGGCAGGTCCTTGTACTGTGGCATAAAGGTCAACCTCTGAGCGACGGCAGCAGCTAGATTTCCGCCTGCACTGTCTCCCATAATGGCCACTCTGGTTGGGTCGACGTTGAAGTCTTCAAGATGCTGTAGGAACCCGACAGTTGCTGCTGTGCAGTCATCAATGGCTGCAGGGAATATGTGCTCTGGTGCCAACCGGTACCTGCAGTATTGAGAATGATCAGTTGAAGGATGCAATTCCCGAAAAATGAAAGTGAGGCAAAAACATACAAGTCCAGTTACTGGAGAATGCTGCGTTATTTCCTTTAATCGATAATCTCCCATCCCATATGAGATGTATCTCTTATTTAACACTTAGAATTCCTAGTGTAGCTCGATGTTGAAACAAGTACTCCCAATCAATCACAGTGTTAATTATAAATTGTCTCGAGTGGCATTCTATCAAGATGCTTCATTTCAAGCCACCAGCTCGTTGCGAATAAGAAGTACAAAGTAAAACGAATAAGTGCATCCAGCGGGGGTAATACTCACTCAACAGAAATGACTACCGAGCCCGTTTCCTTCGCTATTTCAGCAGTCAGAGGATGGTACATATCTAGACAGTGAGACAAATAATCTCATGTCGTCAGAGCAAGTTTCAGCCAAGCATAAGAAATAAGTATAAACCCAATACCATGGGATCTTTCTTTTCAAGAAGAGCTGGGGTTCTGAAAAGATATATTGATTAGTCCACTCGTTAATACGAATACTTAAGGTGTTAATATAATGCTCGAACTGAGACCAGCTATAATGTTGTTTTGACCAGTTGCTGCTCATTTTCTGTTCCTGAAATGTCACCCTTATTTCTCTATCAATATAGCAGAATATATTTCACTGAAATTCGTATGACATTTCATAACTTTCTAAGTGTTGAACCTTCAGTTTACAATTTGGAAAAATCAACTAAAGGAATGCTTGTTACAAAGTCAACGTGCACTATAAAAAATAACTCGAACGGCCGCTGTTCAAGCAGGGCATATGAACAACCTTGTGTAAACCAAGGTTGTTTGGACACACAGATGAGGAATAGGTACAATAACATTGAACAATTGTCGAACAACATACATAATAAACAAGGTTGTTCATGTGCCCCACTTGACCAGAGGTTATTTAAATTATTTTTAACACCCAACCTGATTTTCCATGCGCTCACCTATGCTTCCGAAAGTCCATCCCCCTCCGTGGTAGTAAAGGATCGCCGGGCGTTTGGCGGCTTTCTCCCCGTCTTGTTTGTTGTTGAAGACCCGCACAGGTACACCACCATAGGTCGTGTCCTCGTAGAATACGTTTGGGCCAGTGGACTTACCGGTTTCTAAAATTACAGAACCGACCCATGCGCTCAAACCTTCCGGAATGATGGACGTCAGGCGCATATTCTGAGAATTCGAATATCATTGTGGTGCGTTATGTCAAGCTCTAGAGACCATCCTGATGTGTTTGCATGGGATGAATACGATCGGCTTTTTCAAACTAAAGAAAATATGAATCAACTCCTTGGGACATTATTAATCAATTGTTACTTAATTGATGCCACTTTGTCACTTTTACTTCCGTTCAAGTAGAAATTTCCCTATTTGTAACATTTATTTCTTTTAAATTACATGTATAAGTTGTTATGACAGTTAAAACTACAACCGAGTTAAATAATCCCGCGGGTAAATATATCCTAATTGTTAATATTTCATACTGATCGTAAAAAAAAGATTCTGAAAGTTTTTTTTCATCAAACTCCATTTTGTTTTAGATGACACTATAGTTCAAGCCTCAGTTCACATTTAATCTAAGGCCCTTTTCAAATACTAGACTTGGGCTCCGTCTCAGGCTTCGTTCCCAAGACCAATCCCCGATTGTGGGCCTGAAGGGATTAAATTAAATTGGATTCCTGTAAGTTCTGGCTCTCTTGCATCTTATTTGATGTTTTGTGGCTCTATTAAACTAATTACTGCGCTTACAGCTTCAACGTCAGCTAGTTAAAGCCTGAGACGAAGCCGAAGTTGAGTATTGGAAAACGGCCTAAAAGAGATTTTCTTTGGTCTGAAAACGAGACTACACTGCGAATAATTGCACAATGTATTTACAGCACTGGAGAATTTGCGTATCGATTGAGAGCGAGAATTGTTGCAAGTCTCAGTGTGCGTCTGGTGCCTCGTCGTAGCAAGGCTACAGACGCAGTGAAAAATATGCAGTTGGCAATCATCCGTCCGTGGCTATTTTGCGATTTTACATGAACTTACTATTCGAGCGACGTGAGTCAAGAACTTCAACTTCCACGGTATCTCAATGGCATCAGGGATGGGTTCGAGGTACACGTAGATAGCCGACCCGAGCAAACAGACAAGGAGTGTCGTTCGTATCGCACCCATGACTCAGCAAATGCTCTGTCTGGAGGAAGCAATGCCCACACCAAATCAATTGAAAAAAAATGATTTGCCTAAAGTACTAAGAATATAATAACCAAAATGAAATGCCCTATCGTAATCTCGTTGTCACGGATATAATTTCTTACATTATTTAGCTTCAGTCCAGCGCCGAATAATTATGACCGTGTAGACATCCAATCCCGCAGCTTCAATCCAACATTCAACTCAACGTCCAACTGCACTTTGATTAAAAACTGCTGTCTCACTTAGTGGCACGTGTATACACATGTGCATACTATGCGCAATTAGCTCCGAGCAGATTTTAAACTGCAAATAAACCCTATGATACGGGGCAAAGTTATGTTAGCCAAGCAAGTTATCAGTCACCTAAGGCACCGGCATTCAACGCTCGGCTGCACTGCCCAGGCTTTGGGCTGACAAGAGTTAATGGTGCATCCTTGATGGTGAAACTGTACTCCAGTTGTTACTCGTGCCCAAAACAGCATATATCTCGAATCAAACAGTATATTGATCCAGAATACAGTTGAGAATAGTTGCTGACTTGTAAAAACTAATTTGAGTATTTCACTCTTATTGTTCTTGTTTCAGAAGAAAGGGCCATTGATTGAGGAATTTCAATCTTAAAAGTATTCGTGCAAAATTTTACTCTTGCACGAAAACTACCTAACAAAAACTAAGTGGAATGCATTTTGAATCATGGTTTATATACTTTTCACGACAAATGAGGGCACTTTCGCTTTGATTAAGACAGAGTAGATTGGGTACCATCCCGTACTAGTCTCCAGACGTTTTACAGATGTACTATGAACGTCACGTACGTTCGGAGTAGAATAAAAACCCCATAGACAGCAGTGACAAACCTCCATACTTCACAATTATTTCAAAAATACAACTCTCACAGGTGTTCTGGCTACACAGAAAACGACGATCGACATGTTCCCTTTCATTTTCCTTTCAATGTATTTGGGGTTAACCAATGAAATTTTTAGCACAAGGAGACCGCCCCTAAAATAAAGAAAATGTCCCCGCCCAGAAAAAAAAGCCATTTTGGAAACTATCCCTCTGCAAAACGACCAAACAGTGCCACATTCGGACCCGATTGCACCCAAATTGCTCAGAATTAGAAGCCCAAAGTCCAGGCAAGAGGTTCAGTGCATTATTTTTTACAATTCTTCAATTTCATGGCTCTCAGGACTCTCTAATATAGAATATTTTGAGTGTATGAGTTTTAGTAATGAGCTTGGCGGACATAATTCTGGCTTTTTTTTCGAGGGTGCACCCATAGACTGTGCGTGCATTTTGTTGTATATTCGCGCATGCGCAATAGTGACAATGGGTCGTCGGCCGAGAAATTATTCAAAACTTGTGGACGACACATATCGGTGGTGACCCATGTGAAGGATTTCTGTCGCCATTTCCCTTGAACACCTCATGTTGGAATAAATTGCCACGAATCTATCAAATGGTGATATCTAATACCTGCTTGTAAGACATCTCTCAAGAAAACAGGCCTAATCAAAGAAGTGGAAAATGTCAGTTTTACGACAAAGGATAATTATGAAATACTCATCTTTTTTTTCTTTGATAAATAACTTTGTGTCAAATTTTCACAATTTTGCCGGGTTTACCTTCAGATAACTTTGATGCCATAATGAAAGACTAGTAACTCCTATGAACAAAACAGTTTATTACTTTCTACACGTTGGAAGAAACCCTTTTGAAATGCACTTCATTTTTCACTGGGACCCATTTTCGTCATTTTTTTTTTACCACGGAAGTGCCTGTTTTTTACACTTTTGTCGAATTCCCCTCAGATCATTGGTGATACCATCTGGAAGACTGATGAATCATTTGTATCCATCAGTTCATTTCTCCAAGATCGAGAGCCATTTGCCTGAAATGCGGTTCGTTTTTCATGCGGATTCAAATTTCCGCACTGTGTCGGACAGCGGTCAAAAAAGATGTCCGGATTTTGGGCATGGCGTACACATACACTGGATACGAGTGCTTTTCGGTACGAGTTGACTCTCACTGCATGGCAATAATACGTACAATGATGTGAAACTGCCCAACACAAACAAAACCTTTCCGTTCTCAATCACACGGTTTCCTTCTTGCATGATACTTTCTTATTAGAGTGTTCATGATATTCCTCACCATTCACAACTAGAGAAATGCTGGGAAAACCTGGCAAAAATGAGAAGCTTTCTTAAATGTTGGTTCTAGTTCCAACTTCTGACTTTCTTGCTTTAGAGGTACGTGACAAAGACGGGCAAAAATTAGGCAGAACATAGATTTTTATAGTGTGCAAGTTAGCAAAAGGGACTTTGAGTGTCTAAATTCCAATCAGTATGGAAATGAAGGGCAAACAAATATCCGAGATTGATATTGATTGATTACCGTGGCATCGGGATCCACCTGCCTGAGTCAAGAGCCATTTTACCCGCTTCTGACCGTAGTGGGATTCTGTACACATGCGCGCCAATGAGGGGTATGAACATACATGACGTAGGGACCGGTAGCGGGTAATGAATCCGGCAGAATCCTGCCGGGTATATGTAAATGAGGAAATAATGCCTATTCAATGAACAAATCAAGTAGGAGCTGATAGCATATTTTGCTTTTTCTTCTTTGTTATTGAAATTAACTTCACCATAAATTGTTTGTTTATCTAAAATTAAACACAATAACTACTGATTTGAATTGCCGTAAAATGATTTCGGCTATAGATGATAATTATTGAAAAATAAATTACCACGCTGTGATCACCTGTCCACAGGCTTAACAAGGATACGTACTTGTGTTTAATTTGCCTTCCCGCTGAAACGTATTTCATGTTAAAGCATTACTATTGGCCTGACCAAAACGTAAATATTCAGCATCCAAATTAGCAGGTCTAATCGCATACGTGAAACAGCAGCAAGCTACCAGCACCTATATAATAGGGACGGGGACCAGTCCAGAGCTTTATGATATATAGTCATGGTGCAATTCGACAACTAGCGTTAGAAGCTATTAGTGCAATGGCACAACGCTCGTGGACAGGTGGTCCGCATGTCACATGCCTGTTCGACCAATAAGGTGCAGAGATTTGCCAAATGCACATGCGCGTTGAAAAAAAATGTGCGTGAGAGTGCGCTGCCAGCGCAGTTAATGATGTATAATCTGATTGCCACATGGGTGTCTCAGGGTGCACCCCGGCAAATAGTTGTCGGCCGAGCTCAGTAATAAAGGTTATCCACTCAAAATATTCTACATTAGAGAGTCCTGAGAAACATGAAATTGGGCAGCCTCTAGCATGGACTCAGAGCTTCCAATTCTGAGAAATTTTGATGCAGTCACGTCCGAAAGTGGCACTACTTAGCCGTTTTGCCGAAGGATGCATTTTTAAAATGGCTATACTTTCCGGGCAATGAAATTGCATTTTTTTCAGGGGTGGTCTGCTTTGGGTGAGAATTTCTTAAATATTCATCGGTCAACCCTCTAAAAATTGAAAGGAAAATGAAAAAGGACATGTTGAACATCATCTTGCTGTCCAGTTTGGATACCTGTGGGAGTTGAGAGTATTAATTTTGGAGTAAAATAATTTTGAAATATAAGGATCTATCCTTAGTACCTATGGGAACTTATTTTTAGGGTGCACCCCTCAATTGTTGGAGCCAAAACGGCATGTTATGCGTCAGTGTACATTAGCATTCAATAGCTGCATGCTGTATACTGCAGACACAATAACGAGCAGCCATTTTGGTTTACAAGTTGTGAAGTTGGCTTTACTCTCCATACAGGATGCAGATATAAGATCAAGTGAGAGTTTCTGGACAGCTCATTGGCATTAAAAGTGCCCCCACAGTATCTTTTGAAAAAGGAGATTGTTTGGCCCCCAAATTGGTGAGATTGTGTAAATCCTTGCCAGGATCAACTCCCTGAGTCTTTGAACTTTCAAATGAGAGCAGAAGGGCTCAGGCTAAAAACTACTGTTGAAAAATGGTCCTAAGTGCCCGGGGGTTGCCACTTGAAAAATGGCTGCAATCAGACTTCGGAAAAATCACTTTTTGGGGGTGATTTTGTTTTGTGGCAATAATCAAAAATGTAATTGGTTAACTCACAAAGACTTGAAAAGAAATTGAAAGATAAGTGACCAGACAAGAATTTCATTTGTGTTTCAGAAATCTCAGGCATGTTGGCTAGCATGTTATTGGTCCCTGAACAGTGCTGATTTTACACTGTTTTCAATGGGGCTTGAATGAGTGGACTGTACCCTACAGTTCCTCTTGCCAGGTTCCTCTGAAGAATGGCAAGAAAACGATTTTCCAGTAAGAGCGTACTGTATATGGTGTGTCCCCCGGATTTGTGTAGCCTCCCCCCCAAAAAAAACCATACACACACACATGAAAGTGTGTATTTGCCTGCAACTGCATGGGACCCCTTATTGTTCCTCCATTGTTTGTAATTTGTAATTTTTTAGAAGACCACCCATATGTTTTGTACACAGTTGTCAATCGGGAACCCTCTGTCAATCGGGGACCTTACTGTCTTCTATTGTTCAGTGTCCCCAATTGAATGCATGCAGAAACGAACTCACATACACGCAGCTCTGGCCTAAGACCTGTACGGTGAAAGCCTCCATCAAGACATGTACGACTTGATTGAAGTCCAGTATATGAACCTTATAATCTTTGAACCTTTTCCACTTGACGCACTGTCAACTCTGTACAGCAATCCGTCTGTGTACACAACGACGGCGAGTCGTGTACATTGTACTGTACCGATACTTGACATAAAAACTGGCCAGGTGGGCTAGATTTAATCTATAGTTCAGGTCGTCTGATGAGCATGCACCTCTTAATTTCAAACATTTGCTTCAAAGAGCAAAGAAGCTTGTGCAACAGACCTTGAGAAGTTGAGATTCATCGTGTACTGAGAACTAGTTACCATACGCCACAACTTAGTATACGGCTATTGGTGTAACTGCCAACCACGTAAGTCTGTATTTAATTCCTCAATGTTCTAGTTTACTTGTCAAATAATGAGCAAAGAATGAGTCACTACAGAGTACCCTGCCACTCACCACTCAATTCCTTTTCATCCAGCGGTGCTGGATGAAGTGGAATTGAGTGCATTTTGTCAATTTGTAGGCAGGTAAACGGCTTTACATGGTTATGTTAGGGAGTGCATTTTGTCAATTTGTAGGCAGGTAAACGGCTTTACATGGTTATGTTAGGGGGAATCATAACATGTACATAAATCTGAGTGCACTACCTGGTAACAGTCTACGCGAATACAGAGTCAGGGCGCGCGCATTAAGAACGACCATAGAGAAAGGACACAGATGAAACGACATGATGCATGCTCACTCCTGACTTCACAGCCTGTCATCTTCCGTCGTAGCCGTCAATAAGGAGAGGAGACAGGACACCAATCGCCGGCCAAGTACAGGAAGTGTCGCAGTATCTTGAGCACCGGTGGAGGACAGGGTTAAATGAGTCCCCATGCACGACAAAAAGAAAGGACGAAGAAAATGAAACCGGGTGAAACGAAAAAAAATCTTCACAACAAATCTGTGGTACATAAATGTTGAAGGTGCACATTTTGACTGCTGAAAATGCCTACGATACGTTTTGCGCGAATGGGTTTGTGTATTCATCATTTCACAGATATTCCCAAATCATACTTACCCTCATCGCCCTCATATCTTGTGGTTGTGATAATTGGCGTGTTATACCCGTATATTAATGAATTGGCCTATTCATTGTTCTTTAAGACAGATATAGTAAAATGTGTAGCATCCTTGCCATAATAAGAAGTCTCCTGATCGCGGCTCTTCAACCAGTGCCGGCAGGAATTGAATCCCCTTGGAGGTTGAAACTTTTCACCATGCTGATAATGGTGGTATGTACAAGCATTAACAAAATAATGTACTGGTAAACCGGAATATTGACCGAGATCTGACCACGTTAGGTTACTCATTGGTGTTTTTTTTGCATACAGGCATTCTAAAAACTCCAAGGTGAGATTGACTCCAGAATTGGATCCCATTGGGCATGACCCTGGTGTTTTTAGAATGCACAAGTTCTAAACGCGATATCATTTACAGCTCTTGACTGAAATGTCCTTTGGTTTATGAAGGCTTGCGTATTTTTCAAGATAACACGTTTCACTGACTATAAGCCATTTGCTAGTTAAATTTAAATAAAATCTGGCACACTGAGTTATCTACTTGCACATAAACGTAACAATTTGAATTCCCCAGACTGTTGCTATACTTCGTGACACTACGAACTAACAACAGAAACACAGTGCATTAACAATGAGCGTCCATTGTTAGTACACCGTACTTCTTTTGTTGGATGTTCATAGTGCGATTCGGGGCAAGCTATTGCATAGCGACCACTGTCTCTGAAAGAGTGCGTTGTTGCTAGACATCTCTTATGTAACTAAGCAAAAGCTTCCCCCCCCCAAATCACGAGGTGTAGCAACAGTACTTTTAGTATGTGATGGAAATTGACCAACAGTGTTACAACTTTAACCCAGGTCGGCAAATAACAAATACCCAACATTGTTTGACCAACATATTACAGTGTTGAAGAGGCATTTTGCAAGTCTGATTTCTTTTTCAACAGTCGCCTGCCCTTTTTATAATCAATGTAGTGACTTAAGGTTGGACATGACTACGTATGAATCATACTTTGGATGCATCATTAAATAATTACAAGTATCTCCTTAATATTACTTATACAGTCGTCCCAAAAATCCGAGAGCTACACGAATGAATGTAGAATGGTAGGACAGAACTGTGTTGTGCGGAATTACGTCTGCATATTAAATTTTCATAAAGAAAATATTCGGTCGACTGTCACAGTTTTTAATGCGTTTATAACCGCAGGGTGTTGCCCTTGAGCCCTACACTCCGAAGATACTAAAGAAAATTTTCGACAAGGGCTCCCGAGAAAGCATGAGGGCTGCTGGACCAAACGTTCCATACGCCGACACCACGTTTGACGGAGTGCCGGTACGCGTCTACTCCGACGAGCAGATGGGGAAGAATGCATGTAAACGCCCAGGGATCGTTTATTTTCACGGAGGAGGCTGGAGGTACGGTCACGTTGGTGAGTGCATGAAACACTGAAAGAGTGAAAATTTGGTGAGCGCAATGGTCTCATACAGTGTTTTTTAAGCGTTCATCGCTCCATCGGCAATTTGAACAGGTAATATAACTGTTCTGCTTCTTTGAGTCTTTACAATTTGTATTAGGTTAATGTTTAAAAGTGCATACATTAATTTGTTGGCAGATATGGCCCACTCAGTGACGGCAGAAATGGCGAGAACTTTAGATGCCGTGGTCGTCTCTGTAGAGTAAGTACAATTTTGACAGTGGCATAGCTGGGGGGGGGGTTAGAGGGTGGCAAGTGCCCCCTCTGGGAACTTCTTACTCCTTCTTGCCCCCATGAAAATAGCCTATGGCTACCGTTAGCCAAGTGTGCGAAATGGGTCAACTGAATCTCGTGCCCCCGTCTTGCCCACCACGAGAAAAGCCTGCCGACGCCAGTGAACATTATTTGCTGTGTCTATCATAAAAAGTCAAGAGTTAAATATTATCATTGGATTTGTTTTTTCCAAGCTAGTTACATATAAACTTGTTCTACCTCTTAAATGGCACAGATATCGTCTCACGCCCAAGTACCTCTTCCCTTCAAGTATAGATGATTGTACGAAGGCAACCGTAAGCTTCCTGCAGTGTCTGCAAGAGTTTAATGTCGACCCGGCCAGAGTAGCTGTCATGGGAGAAAGTGCGGGCGGAAATCTAGCGGCCGCTGTATCGCAGAGATTGGCCTTTGACCCAAAATATAAGGAGTTGCCTAAGCTTAAGATGCAGATCCTGCTGTATCCTTGTCTGCAAGCTTTCGACTTCCAGACACCTTCCTATCAGCAAAACAGAAACCTTTTGACTGTTGTGATAGATATAAATATTATGGCAGAATGTTGGGCCGTGTATCTAAACAACAGACCATCTCTGAAGCATCAGATGACCTCAAACAAGCACACTTCGGTAAAGGCGAAGGGATCCCCCTTGGTGAAAAAATGCCTGTCCCATGATCTCATTCCGGATGAGTTTAAGAAGAGAGGTTACTTTGCGCCTTCAACCGACTTCGGGGATGAAGGTATTTACAACGACATCAAAGGAGTTCTCTTGGATCCAGACTACGCACCTCTCATGCGAGAAGACCTGAGAGGACTCCCAGAGGCGTACATCCTGACTGCTGAGTATGATGTCTTGAGGGATGACGGCATCATGTACGCCAAGCGACTGGAGAAGGCTGGAGTGCCGGTCACTTGGAAGCACTACGAGAAGGGATTCCACGCGATGTTTAGTACCAAGAATGGGCCATTGACGTCGCCATCAGGCGATGTGGCAGTGGCAGATTTCTTCGAATTTGCAGGGAGGAGTCTGTGATGAATATTTAGTTGTAGCAACAAAGTAAACTTAATAACATAATTCTTGATAAATTATCAGAACAAACTACTACGAGGCTTACTTTTTATTTGGAGGTAATCATCCACAGATTTGTCTGTCTGCGTGAGTAGATGAAATCTTCGAGTGTAACTCGTGCAGGCATCTCCGACTTTTCTAACTTCGAACCCTTTTCTTGGCAAATCGATATTCGAGTGGTCAGACGTCTACAAAGAGAAGTAGAGGTTTCTGTTCTAATTCATGCGCACCAGATGCTGGTTGCCAAAGCGCACTTATCATTCAGTTTCTCAAATAAAGTTGTGTCATATGAATGGAGGAAGTCACTTGTAATTCATTTGAATGTAAAAGTCAGCCAATTGCGCAATGTGCATCAAATTTACTCTTCAAACAAGCTGGAAACAGTAAAAGCAAGAGTGCCGAAGAGGAGGTCATAGACATTTTCGCTGATACCATGAACCACAACTTGTACAGCTATATAGTAGAGGTTGACACAAACTGGATATCTTATATTTGTCTTATATCTCATATTTGTCTTTTTTCTTGATTATTTATAATCTGGTTGAAGCATTATAGCAGTACAAAAAGGCACTTTCGAATGTCTAATCGAGAAAGTGATCTCAAAACAAGTAATATATCCTGCCTCGATGCGTTTGACATAGGTCAGGAAGAATCAGGAATTTCATTCTGTTTACTGGGTTCACTAAGTCACTGTTTCCGAAGACTTTGTCCCACGTTCAGAGATAAGGATCACATCATCTAGCGCCAAATGCGCCAATGTAACCCAGCCAAGATGAAGTACCGATAATGGATGCGTATCAGCTGCATCGGGATCGGAGAAACACTCAAATCATTGAATATCTATTTTTTTTCTGCGCAGACGTCTCATTACTATTTTGCTAGCCCACGCGTTGTTTATAATAAGAGATGCCATAAATCAGGACCGATTGGAAAAGATATTTCTAAAAATCATGATTTGGTTACTTTAGGCCTATGTTGCATAGAGGTGAGCTGCTATATACAAATTTAATCGTCTTGGAGACTAGTGACTCCTATTTGAGGGGCAAGGGGAGGTGGGGGAAAGGAAGAATTGGGTTGGCTAACACTCGTGGAATTAAAAATAAAGTTGTTCATCATGCAGTCATAATCCTGAATCTCTTTTTCTTTGAGTCATCAGGCGGCACTATTTCTGTCCGATTTACAATGTTTTTGTAAGGGTGCGTATAAGTGTGTATTTTCGAACCTACAGCTACAAAAGAATGCTAATATCTTCCAATAATGCAGTGCCTAGTAGGCGGGGTCACTTGGCATGCAAGCAGTGGACGTATAGGTTCAAGGTAAACGTAAGCATATAAAGTATAGATCTTGGAAATTACAGCTTGTACCAGCAGAAAATGTTTTTTAAAGTGCCACGAAGCCAGAAGCGGTGCACGCATTTCCGCTTTTTGTGTATTTATTTTTGTTCATGTTTATTTGTGTGTTTGCTTTTACCTTCAACCGCAAAGGTGGGTTGCATTGAAAATGCGTTCATTTTAGATAATGGATCTCACTAAATTTTCCCTTTAAAGGAATGAGTGTTCATTTTGTGTGTGCAGAGGGCATATTCCCCTTCCATGATGTGATCACATGGCTGCGGGGGACTGTATTACTTTGGTGAGTTATTTCCATGCAAGCTCGTGACCTAGCCACAAGTGGGTAACGGCCTAACAAGGTTGATGAAAACGTCCATTGCGGTCAGTGGTCTTTGAGCACGCCTGCTCAGTGGGCCGTGAACGATCTCAACAAACTGGAACCCGAACGCGGGCGAGACCGTAGATGATCTGTGTTGTGTGTGTGGGTGTTGTGTACCTGCGATCTTTGATGTTATTCAAAGCGGACACAACGATTGAATCCGGTATTTGTAAATGGATGTTTGACCCGCATCCATTTTGGAAACATCCAACGTAGGCTTGTATGTATACATGCACGTACGTTTGTCCGGTACTGAAAAAGTTCAGTACATGGCCAAGACCACTTGTGGCAGCTAAAAAATACGGGTAGTGACCGACTCACTGTTACGCGCCTGGGACGATACACAGTTGATTCCAATTATGACTCTGAGCTCTCTTTGATTCATTGGATGTGTCGTGCATGCTGCGACGGCTGGCAACAAGAATCCTCGCACCTGATCTTACAGTAACGGGATTGCATGTAAAACTTCAGCCCAACGGTTCAGTAAAGCCACTAGGTCAGTATATATGTATAGGCCAACTAACGTAATCAGCCATTGCAACAAGATTTGAAAGATGAATCGAACATTTTTGAGGTTTTTATTTCGTGAATTTTTTTGCTTTGTCGCCATTTGTAAAGCTGCACATATTTATGAAATTGTAAAGTACATGTATTTATTGCATTTTTTTAATATATACACTTTTCTGGGGCTGTCAAACTTTTAACATCTATTTTCTCTTCTCACTTTATTTCAAGACAGCGATAAAGTCATGGCCAAAATCAGACATCTACTCATCGTGTGTTTGGCCGGGCTAGCTTTGTATACAGCCTTTGAGCCAACGCCAGAAAATATTGAAATTCCATGGAGACTGAAAATTCTGACTCAAATTTTCAAGATGGTAAGTGCTAGTGCGTGCCCAGCGTAGAATAAAGATACCTCTTGGGTTGAGACCAGGCAGTGTGCATACCTTGAAACTGCCAATCTGGAGACAATCTCCAGATTGAAACTAGGAAAGTATCTTGGGGACATGGAGAAACTTCCCTCGGTCATACGTACATGTGTAAGTTATAAGTCGTACCTACGAGACACAAGTCGCATTTATGAAAACCGACAGTTTCACAACGATAAAATTTAAGTATGGCTGGGCGGACTCTGCGGATTTCGAAGTCCGAAGTGAAATTCACAAATACTAATCACTGACAGACTCTCTCCTCAACTTATGGATCTAAATCCCTCAAATCCCATAGCACTGCCGCCTGGCACCCCTGGAATCGTACTTTGCAACTTTCATCCCAGACGGAGTACGCGCCTGGTTCGTCGCAGTCATCAACGATGTCCACAGATCCCTTGGCCCGAATGTCACCTTCACGGACACGACCTTCGGCGGGGTCCCTGTGCGGGTCTTTGCCGACAAACAGGACAGCAAGGAAGCGGGCAAACGCCCAGCCATTGTCTTTATTCACGGTGGAGGCTGGACCCTTGGAAGTGTGGGTCAGTCTTGAGTACATTTAGTCATTTAAATTCCTGGCCCTTGAATTGCAATGGAGTTACTGATCAAATTCCTGTATAATTATGGGTCCCTGCTCGAAGTGAATTGCCATGTTTCCACGTGGTAAGGTTTGTGGACAAGGTCTAATTTAGTAATCAGTCTTTTAATTCAAAATAATGTCCTTTTTACTCGAAGGGTGATTTTTCTCCCTTCTGAGGCCTCTATATGCAGTGCTACTGACATACCGAAGTTCGAAATTAGCAGGAGTGTCGCAATACAGCATGCAGTTGCCCTCAATGGCCCATCAGCAAGGCTGGGGGAGGCAAAGTTCCTCGGGGTGGGGGGGAGGTCAGTTGCCCCCTCGTCGTTCCACTTGACTACGCTAACCAGGCTCTTCCCGGAAAGGGGGCGGGGGACAGCCCCCTTAGGGCCATTTTCCCCAAGCCCCGGCTACGTCACTGGTTGCTCTAAACTTAATAGAGCAGCGTCCTGCCACTGTCGTTCAGAACACTGATTACTGCGGCATACTAGAGCTTCCTGTGCCTTATTATTTGAATTTGACGCGGCTATAGCACGGCGTATCCCATTGCCTATGTTGGCCTATCCAACCAAATTTGGAACCTGGAGAGTTTGATTTAAAAATATATGTTGTGAGGTTGCATTACATTGAAAATGGAGGAGGCGTCGAAGAAAGATTCAACAAAATACGTGTAGTACACCGTCAATGAAAAAAAAACCTCATTTTAGGATGGGTCACGATTTTGTGAGCGAAGACACATGGATTATACATTCCGCCACTAAACATTTTCAGAGAGAGTGCCCTTGTAATCACAGAAAGACTGTAGATTTCGTTCGTTACTACCCCCCCAGTTATATGGAGACAGTGGAGCCCAAATTGAGGACAAATTGAGCCCAAATTGAGGACAATTGCGCAGAACAGGAGGCATACTGTTGACAAACAAATGGGCATCAGTCAAATAGAGGAATCAAGACTGTTTCATTGTTTGCATTCCTGTTTATTATACACAGATTTATTCCACCCTCTGACGGCTGAGATAGCAAGCGGTTTAGACGCAGTGGTCGTTTCGGTTGAGTAAGTATTTGGCTGTGCTCTATATTTTTTGAAGATGACACTAGATGCCTCATTCATGGCGAGAATGAGAGAAAATATTGAAATGAGGCTTTTTACATCAACCTTGAACTAAATATAATTGATATTGACAGAGTCACGAGTAATTTGTTCAGGAAAAGGGTTCGGCGAATTTCATTGGTGTCAACTTCAATGGTGTCGAGAAAAGCATAGGGAATTTGCACGAAAAGTAAGTGAAGTTATTTTCAAAATTAAGAGAAAAGTAATTCAAAATTAATGAAAGGATGTAAATTGCGAATAATTCAATATGAGGCAAAACATAGGATAACTTACCAGGCAAAACATGACATGTATACAACAATCATCCAACATCAAAATTATACAGGGTTACAAAAAAGGCAACTTTGTAATCTAAAAAAAGCTCGCCCAAAGACAAATAAAGTGATATTGTTGAATTTTGCCATGGGCACAGGTGAGCCCCATCCACCGACCTTTCCCTTTGCTTATTTTGTCAAAGATACCGGGTGGCCCCACAGCACGTATTTCCTATCGCCATAAATGATTGCACGGCAGCTACTGTCGGTTTCCTTCAACATCTTGAAGACTTCAACGTTGACCCAACCAGAGTGGCCATTATGGGAGACAGTGCAGGCGGAAATCTAGCTGCTGCCGTCGCTCAGAGGTTGACCTTTATGCCACAGTACAAGGACCTGCCGAAGCTTAGGATGCAGGTTCTGATCTATCCTTGTCTCCAAGCCTTCGACTTCCAGACACCTTCCTACCAGCAGAACGGAGAACACTTCACGGTGATTCTTGACCGGATGAGAATGGCTGAGTTTTGGGCGATGTACCTCGGTAACAGGAACCCGCTGAAGACACCAATGTCAGCAAATCAACACACTACGGCAGAAGCCAAAGGTTCTCCCTTGATCAGAAAGTGCCTTTCCCATGATCTCATTCCAGATGAGTTCAAGCAGACGGGTTATGTAACGCCCTCAACGGACTTCGGGAACGAAGAAATCTACGACGAGATCAGGGAAGTTCTCCTGGATCCAGACTACGCTCCTCTCATGCGAGAAGACCTGAGAGGACTCCCAGAGGCTTACATCCTGACTGCTGGGTATGACGTCTTGAGGGATGACGGCATTATGTACGCCAAGCGACTGGAAAAGGCTGGAGTACCAGTCACTTGGAAGCATTACAAGAACGGCTTTCACTCCATGTTCAACCCTACCAACGGAGTTTTTGCATCACCATCGGCGGACCAGGCGCTAGAAGATTTTATTAAATTCACCAAAAAACGTCTATAACATTTCTAACTGTGAGTAAAAATGTAAGGGATCTAAAGTTTTGAAGAGTTCACATTTATGTCAAGTGGGGTGATGCCAGAAGGGTCCGAAGCCCTTGGCCCTTTCCGAGTGTGCTTGACATTATATCGATTAATCATTCCTGTAAACATATGCATATGCCAGGAAGTATTGTTAACATGTGCTGTACAACGGGATTAAAATTTGTAAAATGCTGTATTTATTATGTTATAAAAAAGTGACAATGAACTTTGCATGATGTCAGCAAGGATATCAGAGACTTTCATGCGTTGTTGGGACAGATAATGACAGGGATGTATAAATAAGCTGAAGCCAAATGTTAGTTATTGCTACCTGTTTACAGAAATGACCCATGGAGGTCCCACCTTCACATACACAGTGTGAAGTCTCCGTTTGTCAACATGAATTCTAGGAATAAAGGGAGGTACGCAAGTTGCAATGCACTTAACTCAAACACAACTGCGATAGATTACACAGAGTGAGGAGGATTTCAGCGTTGAAGTACCCCCGTTAAACACATGAAATTTACATGAATTTCACATCGATGCTGTTTGAGTAGTGCCACAATGTAGTGCATGTGGTGCAAGTAGGCACACGAAATAACTGTCTGAGCGTTTTTTTAAATTTAATTCTTGAAAAAACTGCACGTTGGCTTAATTTTAAACAATTTACTGCATTTCACTGAACAGGAAATTTATGTATGTTGTCAGATTAAAACTGCAATTTAATGATCGTTTCAAAAGCAATAAAACCAAAATTACACACTGTCAACACGAAATTGTTTCCTTTTGACTTTCTGGCCTTATATGAACTGATCTCACGCTAATATCTTACTGAACTGTGGGGCAACTTCGAACGACAATCTTGTCCCAACCATGGTATTAAAGATATGTTCTTTGCACAGGTTACTAGAGCAAATCGATTAGTAGGTTGAAAAATGGTCGTCACACATATTTTCCGTTTTGAAATTCAAAAGGTTTCATTTCAATCATGTTTTCCATGAAACCAGAAGAAAGGAAAAAGCCTGGCTAGAATAGGATGCGGATTTTTGGAACATTTCATTTTATCCTAGCACCTCTGTCATTGTTTCTGAAAAGGTCAGCTCAAAACGCAGACGCCACAGAGCATTTTAACGTGGCAGTTTACTATCGAGATGAAACGCGCACGTGTCGTGCACAAATGGAATACTCGTGACCTGGTTACGCGAGGTACTGGGAAATATTCAGCGTGCCATATAATTAAATATCCAAATATTAAGTTGTGCAAATTCCTATGGATGTAGAAAAAATACATATGCATATATTTTTATATATATTTTTTATATATTTATAAGTGAAGAAAAAATGGAGGAAAAAATAATTTTACTACTGTTGAGCATGTGCATGTGCAATCTTGAGGTTTACTCGTAACACCTTCGAATATGCGTTCAGAGGCTATTTTTTTGTAACCAATAAGTGAATTTTTCTCGTTTGAAATTTCATTGAGATTTTCACCCCAAATATTTCATCTCATTTACGAATGTTCTATATTTGATCGAATATCTGAATATTTGAATAATCGGCACAGACCTAAAAGAACAAAAATATAGAGACCGGTGCCTTAGATCGGCCGTTTTACAGACATGAGGAAAACTTTTTGAGTGGAACAATAACAAGCTCATGTCAAGGGTACAAAACTTTACGACCAAGCGTAGCCAGTAGTAGGCTATTAAGCCTATAACAGTCCTCTCAGCCTTGCAAAGGATTTTTCCTGCAGTGTCGAGAGTAGGCCTACCCCTCATTAACATTAACTACAAGTACAATGTAATATATTTCCTGTGTTATGGTGGGCCTGGAGGTACATGTACATTACGAGTGGTCGTCGTGATATCACGTTCGCCAATACACAGGACACACGTGGCATCCCTTTCCGACAGCTGCACCAAAATATTTCAACTTATTCTTCCTTGTCTGCCAAACGGACTGCGATATGTTACCAGAGCACATGCACAGTGTCGATTTTATTTAATTATTAAATCTTGTTACAAATTACGATCAACAATTCCCAATGATTAGCATAGAGCATAGAGCAAGATTATAAGCCTGATCTCTCTAAGATGTGCGTTCAAAGTATAGACCGTTTTCACCCACGTGATTAAATGTAAACAACACCACCACGCGGGACCGCCTTTGCCTCAGTGATCGCGTATATTTTTCGGGGCAGCTTCAACCTCGTGCAAGCGCACGTGCGAACGCTGCATGCTTGACTTGTTTATTTCGAATAGGTAGATTATTCACTCATTATCATTACAACACATCAGAGGTCCAGCACGATCGTGACATCACGAGGTGCCACACACTAGTATCTCCACCTCAAAGATGGAACACATAGAAATCCCCCGTATGTGGTCCCGTGGGTTTGCCAGTTACTACTTTATTGCTCGGGAAATCATGATATCCTGTTCCACCGAAGTTTCCGGGGGAAATAATTTTGATGGACCTTTCACTAAAGGAGATATTTGTCTCCAGTAATAATCAGCAGGCCGCTTGTAAGTAAGTTTGAAATGCGGTGTTTTTACTTTGTGTAGCGCACCAAGCTAGTCAATCGCTCCTGTGACCTCTAACCTCGGCCGGGATCAGGCAATGTTGTTATTTATCATGCACAGCGCGCGGGCCTAGCCTATGTTGTTAATCAAGTGCAACTCAGATTTGGGTTCAGATCACCGTGAACTAAATCATCATGGCGCGGGCTGTCCTGGCCGTACTGGTGGTCGTGGTTGCTGTGGTAGCGTACGTAGTGCTGGAACCGGTCCCGGACGATGTCGGGGACAGCCCGTGGACGGTGAAATTGTTTTCACTCCAACAAAGTTTGGTAGGTCGACGGTATATCACGATACATGGTTGGTAACTCATTCTGCATTGGTTTGTGCAGTCACTGTGCACTTCATGTTCAGGAAGCAGGCTTCAGGCATCATGCAAATTAAATTTTGTGAAGATTGTGAAGGTGTGGAAGGTATGGTGGCACTGAAGGGACATAAAATTCACGACCAGTCGTCAATTTCTGTGCGACTTCGTGGATTTATTCACGACTTGTCCCGAATATTTGAGACGTCATGAAATTATTCACACCTATTCGCGAATATTTTCGCGACGTCGTGAATTTATGCACAACTAGTCGTTAATGTTTTTGCGACGTCGTGAATATTCGCACGACGTCGTTGATATTTTTCATGACCTGTAGTGAATATTTTTTACGACGCCTGAAGATTTTTCACGACCAGTCGTAAATAGTTTTGCGATGTCGTGAATATTTTTCACGACATGTCATGAATAAATTTACTAGTCGCAAACTTTGTCGCGAATATTTTTCCAGTAACTTGAAGGGTTTGATATTTGCCCGACCAGCACACAAAGGCTTGTTAAGGCCGTCCGTGACAGGCTACTACAGGCTACGGCTAGGTCTGTTGTCTCTGCGTCTCCCCGTTTTTCCAATGGGGGAGAAGACTTACACCTAGCTCTAGGAAACAGTTGGAACAAACTATGGGGAAAGCAAAGCTTGTTTTTCTGAGCCAAGGCCACGTCGTTTCTTAATGTCCTTTTTTCTTCCTCAGTGCACAGTTTCACTGTCCATTTGGCATCGCAAGTGGACAACCATGCAATAATATAAATGCATGCTCACTGCACCGCCATTTGCATGAAGAATGCGCAAGGCCAGGCAGGCATCATGTATTTGCGGTTTAATTATTAGCACACTTACAGTGTTGTAGTCGAGACCACCACAAGACCAGACACAAGACCAGTCACAAGTAACAGGCTGAACAGTGACAAAGGAATGCTTTTGTTGCAGTTTATTTTATTAGCTCATGACTTGAATTTAGACTGGGGGTTTTGTGCTGGTTCTTGTGAAGGTCTTAATTGGCCTCGACTACATGACTGCGCACTTGCCCTCCAAGCTAATGAAAAAAAAATTCGGAACTTAAGTGGTTTAAAAATGTACGATCGCACAAATATTCACAACTAGACGGGAAACTATTCACGACTAGTCGTGAAAAATATACACGACGTCGCACAAATATTCAAGACAAGTCGTGAGTGAATTCCTGACGTTGCACAAACATTTGCGACAAGTCGTGAACTTTAATTGACCTTCAGGGCCACCATAAGAATGTGATCAGGTTCAATGGTCATATGGTTGCAGGCCATTAAATATGACTGGCTCTGCAAAAATGGCCCTTGGGCCTATGTGTGACGATTTGATTTGGAGTGATGCCCACGGATAGAGAGGCATTTTAATGAGGATTAAATTTGTGTATTTTTGATGTCAGTTGCACATTCTATTCCCGAGATACAGTAAAATTTAGAATTGATCTCTGGCGCTGGCAGGTGTATGGTATGGTCTTTAACATTCGGAGGCATAGTATTATTTCAGGGCCTTTTTTGCCGAGTGGGTGACAAATACTGCCGTCCCAAAAATAATTACATGCGCGGGCCAAATCAAGATTTGTACCCAGGCTTAAAGGAAAGGATGGAAGCTACTAGCAGGTCTGCGAGCTAAATTTCTGAAATTATAGACAAAACAGCAAGGGCCCTCCAAGTTGGTCCAGTTTGAAATGGAGTGTACGCATCACTTTAAGAACTGGCAGGAGATTTTGTGATTGTTTTTATGGTGATCATCTCTTGACAGAGGTATCTTCAAAGGAAATAACCAAATAATGAGGAAAGGAGCTTTAAATTTGACGTGTGTCTTGAACACTGGAGAAAATTGTAATTGTCGTCATTTTTGAAGTGGGTGTATTAATCACTGTAATTATTTTCTGGTCTATAACCCTTTGCTTGATGATGAAATATGGCTGCACAGAGAATACTATTTTCCATTAGTTCATCCATTCCATTTTCTATAGGTACTAAGTTGAATGAATCTATGTACATAATTATGTATTTACATGTGTTGTGCACGCTTATGCGTCCTGGTGTGAAAAAAAGAAAAGAAAATGTTAAGATGTTTAAATGGCTTTTAAATGAACTGGTTTAATTCAAATATTTGAGCAATTAGTTTTCCTGAATTCAGTTTTTGAGTGCTTTTTATACTGCCCACATCGTGATGGCGCTGTAACCAGTCAATTATTAAACGCGCCTTCAGTGTCTAGCTCGACTGGCGTCCATTCCACAAGTAACGCAAATTTATGTTACTGGTGTTTCAGTCTAACAGAATTAGGACCAAGCAAGAGTTGTGCAATAAATTAATCTGCAACAGGTATCAAACATGAAGAACTAAGGGAAGATGGGACATGATGGGACACGGGGCAAGATGGGACAGCTTGATAACTTTATCAGCAAGCAACAGAGGGCGCTGTGAATAAACCGACAAAAGACAGGCATATTTGCATCACAAACACGTGACGTTGGTCTTGAGTCTTCTCGGAAAAATCGAAAAATTGGTATTGGGGGACTTAAAATTTTACGGAGGGGAGATGTTTAGCAATACCTAGCAAATTGCAGTAGGGTGCAGAATGATAATTTAATGCGTAGTTGACCAGGTTATTAGTCTGTTGTGTTACAGAAGAGCTAGAAGTATGCAACTCTGTACATGTATTTTACAGTGGCTTTATCAGTTAACTGCATACCCGAAAAATAGGCTGGAAGGGGAAGACTTGAGGGTAAAAGATGCACAGGGCTTGAGTTATTGCCTGCACAACCAGAACGCAGACATTGGGATGAGAATTGTTGTGCTGTCCAAAAGTTCAGATACCGGAGTTTTAGAGTTGAGTTAAATAATCTTTAAATAATTAGCCATGGGTTTGATGATGTCTCCAACCAGCGCATGACGTGCGCTGGAAAACAAAATCATTTTCGACAGGCCACTTGAGGATGTCATATCGATTACAATTTTTGTCGCAATCACATTTGAAGATAGCCCGTTAATTCTATATGTACAGTCCTCAGTCGCGAATCAAGGGGGGTGGGGCGACCGTGCTTGGACACCTGAAATGAAATTATTTAGAAGAAAATTAGAAAAACATAGATTATTAATATAAAAGATGACATGCATCAAGAGTTATTATTTCTGAGAGCATGAATAACTATTTAATGCATTATCTATGTGTACTTTGTGACATTTAACAAAATTTGATGGGCCTTAACCCCCCCTTGAAAAAAAATTATGCGTCCGCCCCTGACCACGGGGTTCTGTGCTATACATGTGATTTAAAGGATTAAAGGAAAAAGGACATTCAACACTGCCCTAATTCCTCACTGAAATCCCCATTGTGTTTTCTTGAGCTTCTATAGATGTTAAATTTGTTATTCACTGTTTTAGAGACCCTACATTAAATGGTGGACACCGACTGGCCTCGACCAGTGGCTGGATGAAATGACCAGGGCCAACTACCGGGAAGGCAGGCCTAAGGTGCCGTACTGGGAAGCAGTGTTTGACCGGGTACCAGTCCGGATATTTGCCGTTGAGCCAGCGGAAGGAAAGACCAGTAAACGGCCGGCTATTGTCTACTATCACGGAGGGGGGTTTATACACAGAAACGTAGGTGCGTAGCCACAGCAGCCCCTACAGTCTACAGTTAGAAAGCTTAAGAATAGAGCGGGAGTTTTACCTAGTTGTTTGTATATAAATTCGAGGAAAATTAAAAAAACAACGTATATTGTGGATCGTTGGGGAAATGAAAGGAAGCCCTGAACTTGTGATATTTTCACAGACTTCCAGAAAACTTTTGGGCTCGTTGCAGATTTACGGGAATCAAGTTTTATTGCGTGGCTTGCAAGAAAAATCGACGAAAATAGCTTGGAAGATCTCATAACACCTTCTAAAGATATTAATAAAGTGCATCTTTTAAAGTTATACTTCTGTAATAACCCCAATCCTTTGTTCATGTACAGCAAAATGCAAAAATTGGAGAAAAAACATATTACTGGAAACCACTAGACCCTCCCTGTGTTTTTAAGAGGTCATTTTGTAAAATTAACCAAAGTTCGATTTCAGTCATGATCTTGCCAGAAATTCGACGGATATTAAAAACTGAAACACCAATTCCCCTTTGCCCTCAGATACCTACCATCCCATAACAGCCATGCTGGCGAAGGGGCTCGATGCTGTTGTAATTTCTGTCGAGTAAGTAAACGTCTGTTTGCGTTCACCGCCTAATCAGTTCTTTACAAGGAGAATAGAAGTTATGTTTTCATGTACATTTTAAACACAAGTCGACAAAGACCTTTGAAAGCCATTTCAGGATGAGGGCCACTAGAAAGCAAAACAATAGGGCCAAAAGAAGACAAAGCCAGAAGCCTTTGTTTTGTTTCTGAATACGGAATTTGACTTTCAACCCTGTGTAACTGAAGACATGAAAATAAAACATATACATACACATGTTGAAATCTCAAGTATTCTATTAATTATTTCTGTTTGGAGATTTCCAAATGAGCATGGGACGTTGATGTAAAAAGTGGCTGCGATGCATCACTCTTCAAGCTTGTCTGTGC